ATTTTGCACATTACTGCAATTTTTTTTTGTTAAATACGTCTAACAAGAAAACATTAACACAATATTTTTATTATATCCACTAACAAGGAGATCAGAACTCTGCACACACCAAAGAACCATATTTTAATTAAATCGTTCTTATGTAAGGATTTTAGAAAACAAGACGAATATACAAAAAAAATTAACCAATACATTCATGAAATGCCTTCGTAAAACAAAATGCATGTTAAATGTCTATTGGATAACAAATAAAGCGGAAACTTCTTTACAATGTGACAGGACCGGAAAGTTCTCATTAAACTTTGAGCCAAATTGTCTACATTCCTTGTACCTCATAGTCGTTTCTCATTTTTGCGAGCAATTCTTGTAATTTTATGAGCGTGCACCTTTTGACACGCGGCGCGCCGTAAAGTCGAACGTAAAGTCGATCAACAATCTTTTATTCGTGCAAAAACTGCCATCCAGGAAACACCTAATCGATTCTTCTTGCTTCATTTTCGTGCGGACGTGCAGAGAAAATTATAAACACTGTAATTTCTAACTGGCATCTATATGTACGGATTTATAACTTTGTATATTATACTCCGTCACTTTTTGCGCCGGTGTAGAATGCATCTCAAAGTAGAAAGTTGTTAACAAAGTGTCACGAGATACGTTCTTCCGTTATACATTCATTTCCAATGCGTTTACTTACATATTTTACATTCATGCGGATGAATTTAAAGCAGATCAAATAATCTACAGTTTATTTTGTATTTTACTTGTACCATTTACGTGCCAAGAAGATAGAAATTATAAAATTAATTTAATTAAAAATCTATCAAAAACAACAGAGAGAAAGAGAAAATATATCACAGCATTTATTGAGCAATATCGTCAGTAATGCTTTCACTATTATCGTTTTACTTTAATTTTAAGTAACAATTACCTATTGTTCTATTCAATCTAAAAGGCGCATGGACATTAACAAGCATTAAAATAAGTAAGGTCCGACCGAAACTGTTTTCTTTTGGTTGAAAACGAAACCGAATTTCGGCCGAAACTAGAATATTATTTTAAATAAGTTTAAATTATTACTAGTCAGCTCATCAAGCAACTGTCGCATACAGCACTACCGTAATTATTCTCCATTCCTAGCTCTTTCACACATTCTAATTGGTTGGATGGAAAAAATTTCTCACATATTCATAATAAAAATAATATATTTCAACAATGTTAACGAGCTCATTATACGATGCGACAAACTTTTTGTTTAACCGACATTCGGCAGCTGTCCTCGTAAGCAAATGTCTTCATTATCTGAGAATAAAGTTTCTATAGTATATTATTTAAATCTTGAATATTTTAGATTCGGCTTTTAACTGGTTTCATATTAAAAAAATGGATAAAAAATGTTCTCATGATCAAAAACGGATTTAAATACACCTTTACGTTTGTAGAAAAAAAGTAAACAGAAAATTTGATTATATGTTGAATAAAACTACAATTCAGCATAAACGTAAAAGCTACACTGTAAATGTTTTGCGTAAAAATATAAAATGTCTATACGAAACAGTTATAATAATAAAAATGAAAAAATAAATAGAATAAACATGAAGCAAACAGTCAAGTTATACAGTAATCAACCAAACGTGAATGAGTAAGGATTTTTTATTTGAAATTTTCGCTTCATTGATTAGCACTTTGCGGTCACAGTTACTTATTGATGTTTTTTAAATGAGTTTTCCCATCGCAATAAATCCGCCCCATTTTTTTATATTTTCTGTTTTTGTCGTGAAATAAATCGCATACCTACATACTGTGTAGTGGTATACGAGGTAGGTACATTTACACCGCAACCAGTAAAATGGAGTGTGATTTCATATAACTGTAATTGCACGCCAGTCGTGTTACAATTTGAACAATCTTATCATAATATTAATGAATTTGCCATCTGGATTAAAAGCCAGCTGTATGAATGATTCGATAATTTTACATTTAATAAGAATTATGTGTTTGTGAACATCTTTTTCTTTTTAAAGTCCACTTTTCCAAAAGCTGGGTTAAAGGTAAATGTCAACAAAAATTGAAGCTTTTTCTCTTTTTACGGTACGGTAATTAGTTTTAACATCTAACACGTACCATACGTTAATTAACACGTGACACTTATTATAGAAGCTAATGTAGTCGTATTATTTACTTGCTTTCCGTCTGTTTCGAATTTAATTGGCTAGAATTTAAATGGTTTGCGAGCACGTTCACGTTTTTGAGTCTGGTTATTATAATTCTGGATTCTTTTGTCATTTTAAGCAGGATATTGAGGACATATAATAATATTAACGGATATACATAGAAAATCAGAAAAAAAATGCATTTTTTTCATGCATACAACTTCATAAGAAAGATAATGAATGAACCTAATGAAAATTATAATATTAAATTATTTTTCTCAACAGAAATAAATATATGTACTTGCATTTCACATTAACCAGTATAGTGCTATCTATATTTCTAATTTATTTCTCATCAAATATTATTTTCGATCTTTTCTTTGCCCCAAGCGAGTATCAAACTTTTACCTTCATTTCAACTTGAGAGTATTTTCCTAATGCACACTCTTAGATTTAAATTTTATTGCACAATGTTAGTGAAATGATCTTTGTCCTATAAATGAATTATACTTCTCATGAGTACACAATGAAATATATAAGTTGGTAATTAAAAATTATTATTTTCTAGTTTGTGCATATCGATACTGATCTTGTTTGCAAAGGTGATGTGAAAATGTGGGAACCTTTCGTCAGATGAATGGAATAATGAAATTGAATGGCAAAATTACGAGCGTGAACTATGGAATATAATTCGCTATTATAATGCCTGATAAATTTACTCGTATAAACAACAAACATTAATGAATGCAACTTTCATATTCTTAAACATACCTGCAGCATACACAAAAGCGATCTTTGTCAACGATTCAAAAATGTAACCCGCAATAATTTCGCATTCTTTCATTGCCTTCTTTCATCACCCCTTAATTATAAATTTAAGGGTTGAATGTAAATCAAAAAAATGGCTTGTGATTGGCACAAATATATTCGGCGGTCAGGAGACCTGCAGGAGACAAGAATGAACGTTGATTTCCATTGGTTGTATTAAGTTAAGTAGGAGTACGATGGCTCTCTACTCGGACTGCTCATGTTACCGGATGTTGTAGCGGTTGTAGGTTGTAGCATGAGTCGTATTTATACATTGATACCTAGTACAACCAGGTAAAATGTAGCTACCGGGTGTATCATATTGTGAATCACTGTGATCTCTTTTTATGGTCAAAACTTGCTTATGTTCATTAACTATGTTCATGGACATGCTGTATACTATGATTATTTTGTGTTTTATTCAGGTGCTTCTCAATTGCAGCATTTTTAGAAAGGAACAAGCCACGCTGACTACAGTAAAGGATGAAACTAATAGGAAATGACGTCAAACAGCCATGAATTTTTGACAATTCTTATGCTGCTTTTATTTTGCTTTTTATATTTGTTATATTGCAATACTTTTGCACTATTAAAAATGGATGTGACATACGAGTATTCTAACTGTTTTATTATAGAGGTTCAATATACATACTCAGTATATAATCTGAACTACTAAATTCAATCACATATTGTATTCCACGTTGTTTACTTCAAATAACCAATTGTATTAATTCGTTGCCAAATACTTTTTTGTATTTATATGTATTGAGCATTCGGCGAACTTGGATTTGAAAGAAAACAATAAAAACTAATTAGTAAGCAAATTATATTTAGTTTTATTTGTGTGAAACAATTACTATTACGACGATTATAATACGACTTCAATTCTTGATAGTGAATATTAAAAAAGTGCTACCTATTGTTTATTAAAGTTTTGATTTCCCAATAGAAAAGTTAACTAATAGTGCTGACAAATTTGTTTAAGTTTTGTTAACTCCATAAATCTATAACAATAAAAGCAAACATATCTGAGATTGCTTACTCGCGAAACTTTGCTTGGAATAGTTTGTTTGAAAATACAAACAATCGTGTAATTACAACAATTATATAGATCCGTCCAAATAGTCTAATAAATTAAATTATTTAATACGTTGGTTAGGCTTCAATACTAATTTAGACAATAAATTTTTAATGCTTATTTTGAATTATTATAACTCTAATTAAAAAATATATTTATAAATGTTTCGTTGTTACTGGAGTACGAGTAAAACATGTCGGAATTTTAAACAATCTATAATGAATAATATGATATAAACAAATGTGGATTACCTGAGTGGCAGTTTTGATTCTGTTGACGTAGATTTCCTTTTTAGTGTAATTTTGCAAACACACGTTATATTAAAATATAATTAAACAGATAATCCCTTATAACATGACAAGAAAACGGGTGTCACTTTATAATGTTATAGTTCACATTATATCAATTTCTACGCCCAAACGTAAAAATATGTTTTGCAAACTTAACGATATGATTTAATTAAAATAATCGCGGAAACAACAAGATATACACACGAAACCGTAAGTTTTAGTGCTGCTTTCACAAATTGACTGCAACTGAAGAGTAAAAGAGCCGGAGAGCACACCGGTAATGGGTTCCTCCAGTAATACTACCTTTTCCACTTCCATTGCGGAATTGTGTGGGGAACTAATCGGGGTTCTGGTCTCGCTTAGCAGGTGCACAGCTACTCGTATTGTATATAGTCTATTTTGTAGTGGTGAAGTGAACGCTTTGAAAATGATGGGGACGTAAGTTGTACATGGTGTCAGCCAGGAGTTTGAAATAACAAGATACTTATCGATATATTGTAGTAAAAATTCTGTTAGATTTAGGAATGCAAAGCCAAAAACGTGTTTTTTAGTCTAAAAATCTTTGAGAAAAACACAAAAACTACATACTCAAAGACATCCTGCATCGTTTACGTCCTGGGAATCAAAATCAGAACGTAGAAATTTTCATTCAATGTATATAATGACTCGATTCGATTAAGAAAATATGTTCGGTATATTGTATTTTTTTTCATGTTTATAAGAGATACACATTTACGTAACATCTCATTTTTCATTAAGTTCTATTTATGTTTTACACTATTGTAACATGATTTTCTTTAAAATCATTTATTACAAGAACCAAAAAACGATTCCCAGTGTAACATACCTACCAGCCATGCACAATAACATGAACTTAAGCTTACAATAATATTTATGCAAATCATAACGCATAGACCATAGATTTGTAGCTTGTAGTAGTGCATATAAATTAGGCGCCGGCGTTAATTGTTAATATACTAAATAAAACTCAGTTAAACTTTATAATGACTTAGTATCCTTAAATCAACATATTATGTTTTTTCTAAAGTAAGATTGTATCGATTGTATATGCCAATGAAATGCTCTGTTTTCCTTTAAGTATAATCAGAAATTCCATTGTGTATGTAAGATAACTGAGAATCTCACACTGCACACTTATTTTACACTCTTATACTCTTATTTTTTGAATCTGACAATTACCCCTTAATAGAACAGTACTCAACAAATAATCCCATTATAATATTTTAAAAATTTGAGGCAATAGAAGCAGAATATTACGATAATTCTGTTAACATTAAGTTATTTTTCGTTATGTTTCATCCATGAGGAATCAACATCAACATTATCATTATTATTTCACATCCCTAAATAATAAAACATGAACATGTTTACATTATTAAAATTACTTCATTCCACATCCAATGTGGACGTGACACTCATTTGCACCATTTAGAATTGGCTGCACATGTGTCAGTCAGTTTTCAAAATCTTGAGTAGTAGAGTTACTATTTTGAATTGAAAGTAATTCATTTTGTTCTTGAACTTCCGAGGAAAGATCACTGCATGGAGAAAACACATATGGAGAAGTGCCACCTGATGAGTCAGCCACAATTTTTAAGTGATTGAATTGGTTTTGGTTATTTTGAGCTGTAACAAATTAAAAACCTAAAAATATGCAGAACATATTAAACTATACTACACCTTTTTCGTATTCAAACTGATTTAAACGCTGTTTCAATGCTTGGTTCTCCTTCTTACTGCTTTCCAACTGATTTACTAACTTAGAAATAAGCAAATATAATTGCTTATTAAGAATTTTAAATTCTTCGATTACAGTTTTGTCATCTTTAGGATGTCTCACAACTGAGGCGCTGGTTTGCATTTGATTATTTTCCTTAATCTTCTCTGTATGAGCAGTGTCAACCTGTAAACTTTGCAGTTCAGATTGATGTGTCTGGTGTTGAATTAACTCAATTAAGGAGTCAGTTTCTTCCATTGTTTGATATATTGCATCCATTATCAAATTTCCTTCATTATCATCACAACCTGATTCACTAAAAGTGCAAAATTTATTTTCAAATGCCATTTTGTATTGTTCATGCTGTTCTTTTTTAAGATTAATTATATTTTTTTGTCTTTTATGAAAATCAATTTGTAATTTTATTGACTCTAGTGAGCGTGGATTTTCTGTACACATCAATGCATCACTCAAGAGTTCAACAGCATTTAAATGGCAACATATTGCTTCTGAATAGCGGTGATAACGTAAATGCTTATCAGCAAGACGGTGTTGTTGATGAGCCTGCAAAAAGGACCATTGTTAGAGTTTCCTAAATCATATTTAGAGCACCACACAAAATAAACCTGCAGATAACACAATACTAAATACCTTATTAAGAGCAGAATTTTCCATATTTATCGTAACAGTTAATATTTTCTTTTGTTCTTTTTCTATCAAAACTATGTACTTTGTACAAACAAAAGGCGAAGTTAATAAGATAATGTACATGTATAAATAAATAAATTGATGTAATGTAGATTACTGATCATAACCTGAAATAAAAAAAAGTGTGAAAGTGGAAATTGGACATGTGGATCTATAGCGCCATCTTGCGTGACGTCTAGTAAGACATAGCAACGTCACCGTACTCGTTCACCGTCGTCGAAGCTCGGAGACGAGAGAGTTGGGGGCCAGAGGACAAGTTCAAAAAATAAAAATTAAAAAACTCACTCTTGACCACCAAGCCAGCATTTACGTGGAATAAGGAGTTTCACATTTTCACTTTCAGTACTTTCATATTCGTTTCCTCTAATTAAATAAATGGAGTCAAATATTTTTACTGAGTTCATCACACAACCAATCTACAACCTAGGTGTCCACCTTGTCCACCTTGTTCACAATGTTCAATGTGCCGAACTTTTTAATTACATTTTTTTTTCGGTCGAAGAACAGGGTCAAACTTTTTATGTTAAAATATTTTTGGCCGAAGAACAGGGCCGAACTTTTTAAGTCAAAATTTTTTTGACCGAAGAACAGGGCCGAACTTTTCGGTTATAATTTTTTCCTGCGAAATCAAAATAAAACTTTGAATGCTAATAACTCCTGAACTAAAAGGGCTAGAAAAGAAAGGACGGCAGATTCTTGATCCGTGAAGGATTCTCTACAAGCTCGGCTATTAAAAACATCTACTTTTCTGCTCCAAACTAAAAAAACATGTGCAAAGAGGTACCTTTTGTAGGTTTTTTGATTTTTGAAAAAATCAAACTGAACACGCTATCGTGTAGAGAATCGTGCGTCCCTTAAACTATAAAATAGCGGTGACAAACTCAAAAATGGTGCAATAGTTGGCAAGATACAGAGTGTTTCCCACAGCATGTTTTCAAATTTTCCAAAACAGACCATTGTTTAAAAGGCATTTTAGGGTACTTTTAAAATGTTTAGCGGATTAAAATAGCATAAATTGCGTAGAGTGCCTCTTAAACTATAAAATGGCGTCGAAAATTTCAAAAAAGGCAAGATACAGATACTTTTCCACAGCATGTTTTCAAAATAGATAAATAGGTACAAATCGTAGAGATTATTGCACGGACTATTCTTCATAAGATTGGCTAGTTAGAACGAAAATCTGAGAGATGAAATTTTTATTCTTAAGAAAAAATTGCCAAGGGGGGGTGCTTGATACTTTTCAAAAATTCATATCTCTTAAACTAAAAGAGATAGCTACTAACGAATTGTTGATTATGAAAGATTGGAAGATTCTCTATCAGACAAAAATATAAAATAATTATATTTCCTACAGTTAAAAATTTCATCCGTTTTATGCTGTTTTACGCGTTGAAACGCAGATTAAAGCTCAAAACGATGCTGTTTTGCTAAAATAAGCATTTTCAAGCAATTTAGGTCGATTGAAATCGTTCAAATAGAAACAATATTAATAAAAAACGAAATAATAAAAAATCGTCGTTGTTATGCTGTTTTACGCGTTAAAAATAAGCATTTTCAAGCATTTTAGATCGTTGAAATCGTTCAAATAGAAACGTATTAATAAAAACGAATAATAAAAAATTCGTCGTTTTTATGCTGCTTTACGCGTTAAAACTACAGATTAAAACTCAAAACGTGCTTTGTTTTGCTATAATAAGCAATTTCAAGCATTTTTAGATCGTTGCGGAAATCGTTCAAATAGACGCAATAAAACAAAAAACGAATAATAAAATTTCAAGTCGTTTTATGCTGTTTTACGCGTTAAAACGCAGGAATAAAGCTCAAAACGTGCTGTTTTGCAAAAAATAAGCATTTTCAAGCATTTTAGATCGTTGAAATCTTTTCAAATAGACGCAATATTAATAAAAACGAATAATAAAATTTCGTCGTTTTATGCTGTTTTCGTTCAAACGCAGATTAAAGCTCAAAACGTGCTGTTTTGCTTTAAAATAAACATTTTAAGCATTTTAGATCGTTGAAATCGTTTTAAATAGAAGCAATATTATAAAGTTAAGGTTGTCAGCGCATTAGAATAGTTATACCATGAAATGAAAACGCAATGAAAAACCCCACTCTCTCGTTAAAACTATTGTTCATTTCATTATAATTTTATTATTTGAGGTCGTGTGTAAATGATTTTATCACATTTTTTTTTAATGTAAAGTTAGATTTCTTTAGTCCTGGCTAGCCATCAACCTCTTGAAGCTTAGGTGAGCATAAAAAGAAGTAAAGAAGCAATTTAAGGAAGGAAACCATTACGAAGAACCAGCTAGTCTTTTTATAAACAGTTTAAATTATATAATTTGTGAGGTTAAATTAAGATGAATACGTTCATCTTCCAAAAATAGTCCACGTGGACAACTGATAAGAAATGACTCCCCTTTCGTAAAAACAAAATAATATTTTGCATTTTTCATGTTTAAAATTATTCACTTTTAAGTTCATTTGTGTGAACGTAAGTAGTATAATTGAGAGCATTTGCCGCAAAAACAATGACCGGTCCGAAGGAGTTTCCCAAAGAGTTTGCAGAAATTTGAGGGGCGCCTGCTTATCAACGGCAAAAGCGACAATACTGGATTCAGGATACCACTGAGGACATGTTTGACGAACTAGAAGGATCTTAGTGTTAATAAATTTATCGGCGATGAACCAACTACAAGATACATGAGTACGTATTGAATTTAGTTTTATTGTAATGATGTATATTTTACCAGTTATACATTAATTGTAGAAATGTATGACGATCCCATAAGTCTTGAGAAGAAATTCGCGTGATATGGCGAAAGTTTATCGATTTAAAACTCACTCTGGTCTGCTTAACGAAGACGGTGAAAATAAAAACAAAGTTGTCGCTTTCCAACGTGTTATATTTAGTAGTACCGACAGTAAAACTAACTACGACGTAAACCGTTATTAAAACACAAGTTGTAATGTTTAGTAGTAATTAATTATATTTTGATTACGCGGAGAAACTTCAGCGCTTATTTAGAATGTTTAAATGGCTGGAAAACCAACGTAATTTTTTTCGAAGAGTTCAACATTCAATGCATTATGAAATCAAAGGGTTTATATATTGCTGGAAGATTATCGACGTGAGGCTCTTGAGGAACGATTGTTGGAGGCTCAGACCAGCAATGTGTCGACATTTGGGGATTACCGCAACTCTGACAACATTTACGTCGTTTGTTTCGCAAAAATTGGCAGCTCGCCTTGGTTTCAGGACTTTTATTCTGTTGAGTATGAAGAGTTGGGTAAGAGTCAGGGAATGTATATTCCTGATATACATAACATACTAAGTGGCTTAAAAAGGTATGTATAAGATGTATGATTGAGTTTTTCATACTTTGGTTGTGCCTTTTTTGACCCAGATTAGTAATACGTCAAGAGTTTGGCCACTCACGTAATATAATTTTTACATCTAATAATAGTATTACGTCACTACTGGTTTTGCACAAACAAGTTATGATCTCTATTTGCATTGATTATTTTTTTTTTTCACATTTTAGGTAATCCACCTGCAAATTGAAGTTTTGAAAAACACTCGAAACATTTGCGGTATTTATTTACTTATTAAATTTTTCATCTACATTTTGAAGAGCACTGAACTATAAATGTAATCTACACCTGGTGACGGTAGAATCTTTAAAAATGTAAATATTTACGGATGAATTAAGCCTGGTCACAAAACAAACAATATCACATATAAAGTTTAAGTTACAGGTTGATAAAATTAATCTTATTGCACAAAGAGTGTTTTAAGGGAGTGTTTTTTCATACAGTTACTAAGAAAAATGATTTAATGATTTAAGTAAAGTGATTTAATAAGACCGGTGCACACGTGCCTAAGCGTACTTCATGTTTTTATTAATACACTTATTTACCATTGTATTAATGCTTTGTCATACATTTATTAGATTTCAAGGTTGAACTCACAAGTAGTGACCTGAATTGTGATAAGATAGGCTAATGTCCCACTTGCAATTGACATCAGCAAACACTGGTTATGCAATGGCTGATATCATATGAATTTCAATTTGGCTTAATAGATAATGATGTTTGGTAATTTAATATTAGAGTTCACGTTCAGTTGCTATCAAATTCACAGCTAGTCCTGAACCGTACACGTTTAAAGAGGCATTTCAAAATGGCGAGTCGCGAGTTTCCCAAAACTTATTTAACTTTTGAAGGGCGCAAAGTTGTCGATGGCAAGAAAAGGCAATATTGGGTGCAAGATGCAACGGAGGATATGTTTCAAGAAATTGAGGATTTGATTGTGACCAAGTTTGTCGGTGATGAGCCAACAACAAAATATATGAGTCAGTATTTATTTTATTTTTTACTCTACTTAAGTAAATGTTTACATAAATTACAGATTGTCTTGATGATCCTGTAAGCTTACAAGAATTCCGTGTTTTGTGGGCAAAAGTATTACAGGAAAAGCACACAATTGTTTGTCTTACTAAAGATGACCAGAATAATACAAAACTTGCCGGTTTCAACGTGTTAACAGAGAGCAAAGCTGATGAGAAAGTCGATTATCCGGTAAGGCACTTTTTAACCAAAGTAAAATCAAATTCCGCCATTTTAATTTATAAAGAATTATAATTGTGGTTTAGGCTACTGGGGAATGTGCCAAGAAACTGTTCACAATTTTTAAATGGATAGAGGCCCAGCGCGATTTCCATACAGAGTTCAAAGTTCCACGCATAATGAAAGCCTTGGGTTTGTTTGTCCTGCCAGGGTATCGTGGTGAAGGGCTTGGCGAACGTATTCTTGAGGCTCGTGAATACATATGCCGATACTTAGGTTTCCCTGCTACATTGACGGCATTCACATCAATTATTTCACAAAAACTGGCAGCCCGAGTTGGTTTTAAAGACTTTTATTGCATTGACTATGAAGAACTCGGAAGGATTGATAAGGCAATGCATATTCCAGATATACACAATCACACAAAGACAATGAAGTATATGTACAAGATTTATGATTGATTTTTAATCAACTGTTGTAGAATTATATTTACATTTGAGTTTTTGTTTTTGCTTGATATTCGTCATTTTGATATTTACCATTTACTATTTTAATTTTTTATATTCTGGTGTTTTATCCATCTGAAACTTTAATCTAAATCGCAGGGGATTAACGCGAGAAATGGCATGACTCTCACATCATGAGAGTTTGCTCGATGATGAAATTGTGATTAAAGGGTCACATCATATTATGATTGATGTGTGCCACGACGTCAACTAGAGCAAATGATAAAGGAGTGAAAAAAAGAAGATATTAATCATCCATCAATTGTTTGTCAATAATTAATATCTTATACGTACATAAGGCTTTTTACTAATGAAATAACTAAGTTTTCTTATTATATTTCATTATGTTAATTATTCAAGCATTATCTTTATTGGTTATAATCAATTACAAAAACATTTAAAGATAAATTTTCTTCCTCACAAAGCAGGTAAACATGTCTTCAACAACAAGTGTAACATACCTCAAAAAATGGCTGTCTTTTATGATAATTTACCCATCATATAACACCAAAAGAAACAATTTTTATACAAGTCAATTAAAATTTATACTTTTATTAATAATAGTTTTGGGCTGGGGAATTGTCAGACAAATTGTGAATATGGTTTCTAATGAATTATATATTGGACCGTTTTTATTGTTTGGACAAATTCTCGTATCATTGATAATGATTGATAATATTCTTCTGAATACCTCTACAAATACAAAGAAACTGAATAAATTATTTGCTTACATGGATAAATTAGAAGAAAACAATGAAAATAAAAGTAATAAACACTTTATAATATGTACTTCGACTCTTATAGAGACAAAAACAAATATGGCCACATAAAATATGTCTGCATAATATGGAATATTGCATTTATTAGTGCACTCTTATCAATGATTATAATGGTGCTTACTAATTTCAGATTTTGGTTTGCATGTCAATGTTTTTTGAGCTCCCATGTATGTATTATATGCAGGAGGGTATTCTTTGGAGATATTTCCTATGCAGTATAATGTGCAGTAAACTTGCATGTGTAAACGAGACATTGCGAGATATCAACGTAAAACGTAGTTATTCTAATGGTGTACATCAACTTTTGGACCAGTTGATTATTGATCATAATGTGATAGTCAATTGGGTGGAGGTTTTCAACGATTTGCTGGGTTGTCAAACTTTCTTGATGAAACTTTATGAATTGTTTCATGTTCTTGTTACCCTCGACATGTTTTTGAGTGGTTATTTTATGAATAGCACCACATTTCACTACACTAATTTGCCGTTGATTGGATTAACTGTATTTATTGTGGTAGGTACCTACTACGTAATACAGGTTTTGTCGGTTGTGTTCAATTTGATTACATTTTAGATACAATGTTTCTTGACCTCCACTGTTTGTGAACGATTCAGTGACGCCGGAATGCAAACGATCAGCGTGGTAAATAACGTAATAATGAAATGTGATTATAATGATTCTGAGCTGAAGGAAAAACTAATACTCTTCTCAAATCAGGCGAGAGATCGCTGCCCAAAGTTTTCAGCAATGGGAGTTTTTCTTGTTAATCATTCTTTAATTTTTACGTTTATTAATATGACCGTATCATATGTCATTGTTATAATCCAAATGTACCAAACTAATTGAATGGAATAGAATGTATAGATAAATATTTAAAATGTACAATAGTAGGTACAATTATCTGCCTGGTGTCCCCAACTAGATGTTTACGTGGGCAAACAATTGTGTTACTTGTTTAGTCAGTCGTGCGCGGTGGTGCCGTGAGCACGTGTTTTGTTTTGTGATTTCTTTTCATAGTAATTAATCGCGTTTCTTGAGATGTTAATGTGATAGTGGCATGAACGACAATGAATTTCGGCGAGTGTGGCTTACAGTTATTGAACTGTCGCCCATGGAATCGGATATTGAGTGACTTATTCACATAATATTTGTGGCTGTCGTCGGATACCGTCTGCCTACTACTATATGTCGAATTGGTATTATTATTTATTTATTTAATGGTTGTATGGGTTCCAATAAAAGACAATTTAATATTATACTTGAACGCTTATTTATTTTGGTATCCTCTTTGTCGTTTTCAGTTTTAAATAATATGGCATATAAGTCGTATGTGTGAGCAGCGGGTATACGATAACTAACTGTTACTTGAATTGTGTTGTTGTTTTTAAAAATATGATAAAAGTAGAAACATAAATAGAAGAATCAAATAACAACAATAAAAACACTCGGTGGTCGAGTGGAGACGTGCACCTGCTGGCATGCTAGCAGGCACGGATCGAATCTCAGGTATAGAAGGCATTTTTCTCAAATATAAAAATATCAGGTGTAATTTGGGTTGCATATATGAATTGCAACGAAATATAAGAGAAATTGAAATATAAGTGAAGGCAATATGAGAATAAATAAGAAAGCAAGTGGAGAAATGAAACGGAGATCAGAGAAATAGAAAAGAAGAAGGAATAGTAGAGAAGAGGAGGAGATAGAAGAAAGAGAACAGGAGAGGATCAAATTTTTAAACTTTTTGGCCCGTGTCGTTAGACAGTCTAAGGTCGATCTCCCAGAGCGCCTCCGGCGCTCTGGTCGATCTCCCACTGCTTCGATGCATCCATTGCTCCCGGCCCATCCTACAGCTACGATGTCTCTGCGCTTCATCCCCGAAATTATCAGGCATATCAACAATTTTTATGGTGGGGGATCACCCCCAGAGAGAGGGAACTCCTTATAAGGACAATCCTTATGAGGACTTGTAAAAATATTTCTAAGTTTTAAGTCGCCTCAAGAGAGGCGACACTTAAAAATATTTTTACAAGTTCTGACCTGTACCTAAAATGATAGAAGGGGTACACACAAATCATAGGAGGCACAGCCACTTTTAAGATTTCTTTATTGAAATATGTATACAATGAAAACCTGGAATATATAACACTCAACAATATATACGCCGCCATTTTGAATCTAATCATAAGAGCAGTATAGCCCGGTACCTGCAGACAAGTAGCAAGCGTAAAAAAATAACAATGAAAAACATATAATACTAACAAATTTTGCATAATTTTCGAGGCAATCACGGGAAAATATTACACAGGGTGTTCCAAAAACAATGTAGTAACTTTTTATCAGAAAATGCAAAGTTAAAGTAGGGAAATATATCTCTAAACCCGCAGTGAAAGAAATATCAAAGGAAATTATTATACAGGGTGATGTAAAAAGAGAACGACAATATTTTAAAAGAAAATCCTACGTTTAAGTGGGATAATATATATCCTTTCTACCTTTGACAAACCCACTACGGGAAATTAATATATAGGGTGATACAAAAAGAAAACTACAATATTTTATAGGAAAATCTTAAGTTTAAGTAGGACAACTATATCTTTCTCACGTTTTACAAACTTACTAAAGGAAATTAATATACAGGGTGTTACAAAAAGAAAACCCTAAGTTTTAAAAGTAAAACGTTCAAACACAAATAAATATGATCTATTAAATGATAAGGAAAATATATCTACTGGGTAATACAAAAAAAGATAAATTAAAAAAAGATTTAAGTAGGAAAAACGACGGAAACAATTAACAAGACTATAATAACAAGATAATAGAAGAAGAAATCATATTTAAAAAAATTAAAATGTTTACACCCGAAGTCAAAGAAAAGTGAAAAGTAAGAAAACATAAAAATAGAACATTTCAAAAATCGTATTTTCTCTTTATATCAAGAAAAACTGATGGGTTGGTTATTACAAAAATAAAGGACAATGCAGAATTTTATTTTAAATCATGTGAAACAACTGGTGACCGACCAGCGCGGAACAAGCCGCCAGAGAATCAAGAACGTTGCCGACGGCACGCGACAATGTCAATCTTTTTAATTTGTAGGTATATTAAACGAAAACGAAACAATGTATTGAATTTGTAATCCAAATCAACGATAGATGTTGCGACAAATAATATTTGTGTGCTCAATTAAAGACCACGCGGTTAAAGTAAAAACAAGTACGGGTTTGATTTGCATATGGCTGAAAAAATGCGAAAACATACCTTGATAAATTTTTGCTTTTTGACATATCCAATAAGTTGCAAGGACCTTAATTATGCACATTGTACGAACGATGAAATACGCGTATAATACAAAGGAGTATCCGACGGCCGACGGAACATCACTCACGCTTTACCTTTGCGAATGTACCCTCCGGATTTAACGAAGCCGCACATCACGCGTGCACAATTCAAAAAGCATTCAAAATTATTACGTAACAACGCGAAAATAAATTAAGGAACTCAAGAATAATGAAGAAAATGTGCGTGCACATCACCTGACGATAAAAATGAGACTAACCTGCTACGCAAGCCAACCGCGTGGCGACCGCACAAAAGTTGCACGTGATAAGAAAAACTAGTTTGTTTGTAAACACTGACACTCTCAGTGTGGTAGTGTAGAACATGAATAGAATTGTACTAGTACTCTGCATGGAACTTTTAATATTAAACTTAAATTTTGAAAAAATAGTAAAAAATGTCTATTTTTATGTTTGAAAGTAAAAGTTAGAATTTTTAAATTCTGTTTTCAGATTCTGAAAGTAGATTAAATTCATGTTAAACAAATTAAACATGTATAAATATTATATACTATTATATAAATTATATTTACTTCCATTTCAGTGTTACTGTGATTGACAAGAACCGATTTCAAACTCTCAATCTACGGTGAATTCTTGATAAAATAAGGTAATTAAATTGGAAATCTAAGAGATGAAATTTGAATTCAAAAGAAAAAAATGAACGAATGAAAGTCAGCTATACATTCATCCTCGTATGGTGTCCAAACACGATTCACTTCTACCGTTATCCCTTGTGGTGCTCTAAACACGAGTCACTGTTACCGATGCCCTTGTACGGTGCCCTGAATTGAGTCACTTCTACCGCTACCTTCGTACGGTGCCCTGAATCGAGTCACTTCTACCGCTACCTTCGTAAGGTGCCCTGAATCGAGTCACTTCTACCGCTAATTGAAATTTGAACATTTTACAAAGGTTTTCCGCAATATAATCCGTTTTCCATGTTACCATTTAGTGAAATATATAGGCCCCCCTAATTCGCAACACGCAGATGAAAGGCCTTAAAACATTTAACCGAATAATATAACTTAATTATAAACTTACCAATGCAGCGCTCGTCGGATTGCATGGGTACGGCAAGTACTGTAATTAAAACAAAACATAAGTTAAAACAAAAACAATTTATACAATATGATAATATTATATTCACACATGGGAGAAAACATACTTTTTGTGCAGGGTATCGCAATGGTTAGATAAAAGTAACTTACTCAGCACATCTCAAGTAAGTTTCCGATTAATCTAGCGACCGACCACGTCACACAAAAATCGACAATAAAACCGCAGCATTGTAATTTAAAATATAAACATCATAAGTAAGCAAAAAAAAAATTATGCACATTAAACACTCAATTAAATTAATCTGGCTGCAATCCATCGATAGCACAATGCACAAGCAACGATGCGACAGTTTACAATAAGAATCTGTACCTGCTGCGCGAACCTCCAAAATATCCAAGTTCAAAATATTTTATTTATAATCACACACAAAGTCTGCCGGCCGGCGTCCGACGGCAACCGATCAGAAATCCACGCGAAAATGTAATAAACTCACAAAATATTGAATTCCGAAGATTACATACGAGATAAATATTTACCGAATGACCAAACACGGCAATTAACACTAAATTCAATAAAATATAACGTGATATAGCGAATTTGCAACAAGAAACACGAATACTAGACGGAATATTCTTATCTGCTGCACAAAGTAAGAGCTGCGTGCCGGCATCACAACTGTGCACGTCGACTTTCACTCGCAGGAATATTTTTAATAAGAACATGCATCGTTGCGCTACCTGAGAATTCTTTATTGTACCTCCAGAAAATACAAAGCGTTTCAAAAACTGTGGCGTACATATGAGTCAGTGCGCGATTGCGTGTGAGTCAGTGAGTGGTCACGTACTTAAGTAGCCGTGTCCGTGTATCACACGTACAAGAGAGTGCGCATGCACCACCCACTCTAAACAAATAGCAAGTTTTACACATAACTCAAAACTTCAAATATAGAAGTCAAGAGAATATACTTATTCAAAATAAGTGAATCTAATTTTAATATTATTATAATTATAATTATATTATTATTATATTATTGATAGTTTTAATCGACGATTTTCGAGAAGAAACTGGTTTAATCACAACTGACGTTTTGTTTTTAACTGAATTGTTGAATATTATATTGATTATTTTGATAGACGCTTACTTTTATGATTTTTATGTTATATTTTTACTGAATTGTTTGTTTTTGATACAAACAACAGTTAAACAGTTATACAGTTTGTAAACAGTTAAATATTTGCTTGGATATAGGTTTAGTAGTTTTTATGTTGTGTTTGGATTGAATTTATACTAAGAGAGATATTAAGAGATATTAGCAATTTTATATTGGCAATTTTTTCTTAAGACTTAAAATTTCATCTCTTAGATTTCGATTTTAACTAGTCTATCTTGTAGAGAATTTTTCGTAGATCAAGAATCTGCGATTTGGCCTTCCTACCTCTATTAGTTTACGAGATATTCACATTTGAAGAAAATGGTCAAAAATTGAAAAATGTCACTTTTTAGCACTTTTAGTCGCATTTTTCGACCTTTTACTCTTTGAAATTAAATAATTTTAAATGCCTAGCTGGTTAAGAATCATTCATTCTTCCGTAATCTACAATCCGCTGGTTGCTATCTCTTTTAGTTTAAGAGATATTAATTATCAAAAATCCTCGAAAAAAAGTATCAAGCACCCCCCCTTAACCATTTTTTTCTTATGACTTAAAATTTCATCTCTTAGATTTCGATTTTAACTAGCCTATCTAGTAGAGAATATTTCGTAGATCAAGAATCTGCAATTTGGCCTTCCTATCTCTTTTAGTTTACGAGATATTCACATTTGAAGAAAATGGTCAAAAATTGAAAAATGTCACTTTTTAGCACTTTTAGTCGCATTTTTCGACCTTTTACTCTTTGAAATTAAATAATTTGAAATGCCTATCTGGTTAAGAATAATTCATTCTTCCGTACAATCCGCTGGTTGCTATCTCTTTTACATTTTTTTCTTATGACTTAAAATTTCATCTCTTCGATTTTCATTTTAACTATCCTATCTTATCGGGCGTCAGCGGTTAATGTTAGCAAAGAAAGTTACTAAAATACTCGATGGAGAAATAAATGTCTATAAGTATCCAAAAAAAACATTAGATAATAATTAAAAATAACATTTGTCTGCGCGCTTGACCACGCCAAGGTAATAAGACGCCTGTGGTGCTATGAATTAATATTATGCGTTCCTTTATAGATATAAAAACTTTCAACATTCAATTTACGTTATCAGGCATTAAATAATAACAAGAAACCGGCAACTTTATTTAGAGCAATGACTCTCAATTAAACACTTCTATCTCTACTGTTATTATGTACTGTGGACGTGACATCACACGAGTGTAAAGTACTGGGCCAGTGTTTGATTAAAATTTAAGTTGAAAGCTAACAAGCAAACACTCGTAGTACGTGAGATACAAATTCGCCACATAAAAATAAACGTTCCAATCGCTAAGTGTCTAGTATATCTGCGAGTTATAAACTTGCTCATAAAAATAAGCATTGAAAATGTCAACAAACCGTGAGTTTCCAAAGATCTACTTTGAATTCGAGGGACGCAAAGTTTTCAACGGCCAGAAACGCAAATACTGGATACAGGATGCGACTGAAGACATGCTTCAGGAGGTTGAAGATCTAGTTGTGAACTACTTTTTTGCCTCTTCGCCAACCATGAAATATTTGAGTAGGAATTATTCATTATATATTATTCCAACAAGTAAGGATTGCTTTAATTTGTTGTCTATTTATAGAGGTTCTTGAGGATCCCGTAACTCTTGCCGAATTTCGACTTGTGTGGCGCAAGGTTCTGCAAGAAAAACTCACGTTAGTTTGCTTAACAAAAGTCGACCAAAACAACACAAAACTTGCCGGTTTCAATGTATTATCCGAAAGTATTGCCAATGTTAAAAGTGACTATAACGTAAATCTATAATAATCATCAATATTAAATTTAAAAATTAAAAAGAAACCGTTTTCTAGTTTCAAGGAGCAAGTGCACAGAAGTTATTTAAAATTCTTACATGGATCGAAAGCCAAGGGAATTTTCACAAAGAGTTCAAGTTTGATCGTGTAATGAAAGGAATGGGTTTGTATGTTTTGGAGGACTACCGTGGTGAGGCACTTGGGGAACGTATTTTGGAAGCTCGAGAACACATATGTCGGCATGTGGGTATACATGCAACATTGACTGGTTTTACTTCAGTTATATCGCAAAAATTGGCAGCCCGTGTTGGATTTCAGGATTTCTATGCTATTGACTATGAAGAACTGGGCAGAATTGATCCTGCAATGCATATTCCTGATATTCAGAACCATAGCAAAGTGTACAAATCTATGTATAAGATTTATAATTGATTATTCAATAGAAACCACATTTTAATTACCCAATATTTCAATGTTTCTTATTATCCAAGAGTAGAACACAGTCGGTAGCAGGATATTCCGGTAAATTTAATTCATACTTGTGTTCTAAAGCAGGCGGTACAAACCTACCACCAAGATAATGATATTTTCCTTTAAAGAACTTAGCACATTCTTTTGGTGCAGTTAGGGATATTAACAGTTCTGGTTTAATTCCTCCATCAGAAGGTGGACCCTTTTCAACATCCCAGCCACTAGGAATATCAATGCTAAAATATTATCATTTAATTAAAATAAAAGGAGAGTATATACAGTTAAACCACCTTGCAATAGGAACTTTTGTTCGCTTCAAAACCTCCATTACAGCATGATATTGTGGCCTAACTGGTGGTTTAAAACTAAATCCAAATAAAGCATCCACAATTAAACCATAATCTGAATCAACAGGAGTTTTTGACAGGAAATCAATATCCATGTTAGTACATTGGATCACTAGATTATTATAAAGCTCTAGGTCAGTCTGCATCGGACAGTAAACAGTAGTAGGATAACCAAATAACTTCAGATGTCTGGCGGCTACAAGTCCATCACCTCCATTATTCCCTGGCCCACAACAAACCAAGATTTTCTTGCTATTTAGGCTTTTAATTGAGTATGTTTTTGCAATTGCGGTGGCACAGCTCAAACCAGCCAGTTCCATCAATTGGTCCACACTGAATTTGTACTCATTGAAGAGTTCTAAATCCACATTAACGGCTTCTTCTTGTTTGAGATATTTCATTGTGCACTTTTGATTCACACTTTTATGTAGAATGCAGTATGATCTGTTGAACAGGAGGCAGTTAATTAAACTCCAATGTTTCATAACCTGCTTGTCATTAAAAATTTTAAATTAATTACAGTATGTAAATGGTGGGAGGATAATACAACTCTAATGAAGCGCATAATGAACTTATTATGATACAATGTATACAAGGCTTAAGCATTTATAATGCGATTTCATGCTACAGATAACATGCAAATGTTTACGTTACCTTTTAACATTCTGGTCATCAAGCTGTTGTTTGTTACTTAACCTGTTCAGTCAAATACATACAAATTCGACTCGGTAGTCAGGAAGCCCGTACGCCACATAAGCTCCACATCCACATTGCCGGCACATTAGGCCGCGTCTCGTGATAAGAAAGCGTTGCTGATGTGTAAAAAATATTCATCATATTAAACTCACCCACATTCATTCTTAGTATTATCAACAGATAAAAGTATTCGACCAAATTACAATGCGTGGCGCACGATATTTTATACTGCTCGCCACCTTTGCGTCTTTTGTATTCGCGGTTGCACGAAGCGAACTTGAACGCGTTAGTGATGATGAACTCATGAATTTAATCCGCACAGAGAAATATGTTATAGTATTATTCAGTAAGTACTTTCTCAGTTGATTTTTGATGGTATGGTTGCTTTAATTTCTTATTTTTTAGCTGCACATGATTGTGATCCCTGTGACAAATTTGAGAATGAAATGCTTGGTCTTCGAGAGCATCTTGTAGATGCATTGGGTGCTTGGATTGTTAAAGCTGAGGACAGTCAGATGACAAGGCTGTATAGTCCTACCCGAGAACCAGCATTGGTCTTCTTTAGACATGGTGTTCCACTACTTTATGATGGTATTGTTTCATATTTTGCTTTAGATGTAATGCAAAATTTATATTCATTATAATGATAGGTCCATTGAATGATGAGTTAATTCTTCACACATTAAATGATAATAAGGAACCAAGTGTGAAAGAGTTAACAGATGAAAACTTTGAGCATTTGACACAAGTTTCAACTGGAGCTACAACTGGTGATTGGTTTGTCTTGTTGTAAGTACTTGAAGTTATTATACAGATATTGTTGAAATTTATAGTTAATTTTATAGTTTCACGAATGATTGCGTGGATTGTCAACGATTGCAAGCACGTTGGGAGGCGGTAGGTGCACGTTTGAAAACTCGAATGAATGTAGCAAGAGTTAATCGAGGCACAACTGGTGCAGCAACAGCAAGAAGATTTGGAGTTTTCCACGTCCCACAATTTATTCTGTACGTTTTTACGTTTTATTATTAAACCGCCCAACTTGGTTTTTATTTGAGTGGATTTTTTCAGGTTCCGTCAAGGCAAAATGTATAATTACGATATTAGAAACCATGATGTGCAATCATTTGTCTCTTTTGCGCAAGATTGGTATAAAAATGTGAAGTCTGAACGAGTGCCTCTACCAAAATCGCCTTTGTAAGTATAAATGAAGCGTTTTGGTACAGTTTTAATTGTTTTTGTTTGTTTTTTACCTTTAGTGATGATTTGGTTCAAATGATCGTCGATTACCTTAAAGAAAATCCGTCCATGTGGGTGATTGCACTAGTTACAGCTGGAATTGGGTTTGTCGCAGCAATTCTGATGAGGAGGTCGGCGCCGGCACCCAAGAAGAGCAAGAAATCTGACAAGAAGGAAAAATCATCTGGAAAGGAAAAATCAAGTGACTCTACAGAGTCTAAAAAGAAACAAAAATAACTCACCTTTTTATGATATTTCTTCCTTTTTTCTTGTATTATAACAGTATCAAATACAACAATAAATTGTACTTTTCAATTATGGAGTTAGCGTTGTTCTGTGTATTTATTTGAGCGTGTTAATTCTAGAGGTCGCTGCGATGCACTTTGGTCGTTTATGTTTTGATTTCAACGCATTCGCGTCACTTGTGTTCAACAAAAAGCGCTCCGGTGTGTGATTGTTTAAAAAACTACCGCTATTACTAGTAAGTACCTTGTGTAAGAAGTGCCCTTTGAGAGAATCATGAGTCGTCGCCGAGTACACGAAGATGAAGATGGATACGGTGAGTATTATCCGTTCTACACACTTATTTTCCTACCTATAACCTAACATAATGCATTTTTATGAATTACAGACCGGGTTTATCGCAAACGCCGGCGAGTCTCTGAAAATCAGGAGATCGAGGACCGCCTGGAGTCCCTAATTCTACGAGTTGGCGAGAAGAGCAGCTCTTCTCTTGAATCCAATCTTGAGGGTTTAGCCAGTGTGCTTGAAGCTGATTTAGGCAACTTCAGGGCAAAGATACTTAGAATTCTAACTGATTGTGCTATTAGAATGCCAGAAAAATGCACAATTTACACCACTCTTGTCGGTTTACTGAATGCAAAGAACTATAACTTTGGTGGGGAATTTGTTGAGTTTATGGTTAAGACTTTTAAAGATTCCTTAAAGTCTTGCAAATGGGATGCAGCCAGATATGCACTTAGATTCTTAGCTGATTTGGTTAATTGTCATGTGTTATCAGCTGCATCACTTCTGCAATTGCTAGACAATATGATTGATGCAGCCAATGAGGATAGTGTGCCTCAAGTCAGGAGGGATTGGTATGTTTATGCGATTTTATCAACTCTTCCATGGGTTGGCAGAGAGTTGTACGAAAAACGCGAGCGTGATTTGGGTAATTTACTGGTCGCGATTGAAGTTTTCTTGAACAAACGCAGCAAGAAACATCACAATGCTCTCAGGGTTTGGTCTGATGACAATCCCCATCCTCAGGAGGAATATCTAGATTGTCTTTGGGCACAGATACGTAAACTAAAGCAGGATAACTGGCAGGAGAAGCACATCCCTCGTCCATATCTCGCGTTTGATTCGATTCTCTGCGAAGCTTTGCAGCATACTCTGCCACCGATTATTCCTCCACCTCATGAGGACAGCTACAGTTACCCGATGCCTTGGGTAGTCTTCCGAATGTTTGATTATACTGATTGTCCAGAAGGACCAATCCTGCCAGGCACGCACTCAATTGAACGATTCTTGATTGAGGAACACTTACATTCGATCATCGAATTGTATCACTTGGAGAGGAAAGATTGCGCCGCGCATCTATTGAACTTTCCGTACAAGTCGAAGATCCCATTGGAGTACTGCATTGTTGAAGTGATCTTCGCCGAGTTGTTCAACATGCCAACACCGAGATATCTTGAAATTGCTTATGGAGGTATAATGATCGAACTGTGCAAGCTTCAGCCGTCTACCATGCCACAGGTGTTGGCGCAGGCCACGGAGATTTTGTTTATGCGCATTGATTCAATGAATGTGTCATGTTTCGATCGATTCGTCATTTGGTTTTCGTATCACTTGAGTAATTTCCAGTTTAGGTGGTCGTGGGAGGATTGGGAGGCTTGTTTGACGTTGGATTATGAGCATCCAAAGCCGAAATTTATCAGGGAGACTATGTTACGATCATTACGGTAATGAAACGTATATAAATACAAATGCGTTGGTTTAATTATTTGTTTTGTTTGTGTAGATTGTCATATCATACAAGGATCAAGGAAATTCTGCCCGAGAGTTTCGCAGGATTTATTCCGGAGAAGCCTGAACCTGATTATAAATATGCTAAGGAAGGAACTGGTAAGTGTGTTGCTTATAATTTAGTTTATAACATTTTAAGTTACTGACGATTAGTGCAAAGTATTGTTTTTTGTGTTTAAATTGATAAATAGTGCTTATTACGTTTATTAGTCTTTGCGCCGTAAAATGTTGTTTGAAACATCTAGAATTCATTGGTACCTGCAGCGCCATCAGTAACCTTGGCCTGTCTGCGAATATTCCCCTCCGCTTGTGGCGGATATCAAGTGTTAAAGTGTAGCCTTGAGCGACGAAAGTGCCGAGTTGTACCTGTGTTGCCTAGTAAAACATACAGATGTCTCTAGGCTTCACTCTGTTGACCAATTTGGATCGCAAATATGCAATGTGCTTTCCCATTGCTCCGAGATTACACGCGCTGTATTAACAATTGCTCTTAATTTTTATAGCATCTCAATTTGCATGAGACTAGTTTTATATATACATAGTTGCTGGATATTAATGCTTTTTAAATGTTTTCTGTTATAATAACATAATTTATTGATTACATACGTTGAGAATTAATATATTAATCACTTTTGAATAATTTATGCCTCAAATAATAAGTAAATTCATTTAGCAATATACAATATATATTATACAGTTAGTTAATTGTCGCTTTTACCTGCTTCGTCAATATTCTCAACAATTTTTACCGGTTTAACAACTTTACTCTCTGTTTCCGACTTTGTGCTCGGGTTTGTGCTGTTGTGCGCTTTGATCGCTCCACGATTAGTCCTCGTTATTGTGGCTTTATTCTCCGTTCGTTTCTTCACTTTTCTCACCCGACCATAACTTTTCCGCTTGTATTTATTGCGATTTTGCAAGTTTGTATTACTTGGTGTTTTGGCGTTTCTATTACCATTGCCAACACGCTGAGTTATTTTAGGTTTGGTTACTTCAGGAGTAATTTCAGTGGTCTTGCCTTCCAAATAATCGATAGTTCTCGCATGATTTACGAGCTGCAGGGCAAGATCATCGAAAGCTTTAGTCACGCCAGTTGTTGCTGTTGAGCTTGGTTTCAACTTGTTTTTGTATTTTCTACCATTTGGTCCATACCTAGGTCGCGGAGCTACTTCCGGACGATTACCATTGTGTATGATTTCAATATTTTCGACAAGATCTTGATCTGATTGCGGTTGTTGTGGTGTTTCAGGGTGTTCCGCTTTATATACTTTATAGTCACCATCAGGTTGATGCAGTTCTTTCACTTTAGCTTTCCGGAATTTAAGTTTCTTTACAATCTTTTTACCTCCAGTGCCATTGGAATTATTACCATTTTTATATTTATTATTTACTTCAAAACTTACGGATGTGCTATAGCTTTGACTCGTGCTGGGAATAGTAGTAAATGCTTCTAGTACTCGTGTAGGTGGTACAGTCGAAGCTTCGAAGAAATCTGCGTATATGACCTTGGGACCGGTTTCATCTAATGCGGCTGCAGTACTAGAAGGAGTGTTTTGTATGAAAAACTCATCAAAGACGCTTTCGTCTATGGGTGGCTTTGGTTTGAACGTGGCAGAGTCAAAAACTTCTTTTATTTCAATAGGATTGATGGTGGTGGTTGGTCCTTCAGTTGTACTTGGTACAGGATCAAGAGGATCGAAAACATCGACTTCTTCTTGATTTAAATCTGGAATTAATATTTGTGGTTTGTAGTTTTCTTCATGTAAGATGAAATCGCCCGTGGGTATTGTTGCCGGTGCTTTGGTAGTGGTTGTAGTGATAATTGCATTTGGGTCCCGAGGGAAGAGATCAACATCGTAGTCGTCTATAGCAGGAATCTTGAATGGTGTGCTTGGTTTCGGCAATTTTGTTGGTATAGAGATCGTATGGGCATGGGCTGTTGATGGTGGAGTGTATCTGTCCGTTGATGATGGTACCAGCAAAGTGGTTCCTGTATGGGCTCCTATGAGACCATTTTGGTCTTTGTTTGTAGTGCTTTGACCTCCTTGGGTGACTGTATTTCTATTGGTAATGGGGTTTAATGTAGGTCTAGTCGTAGGTGTGAAAACAGTTGATGGTCTTGTCAAAGGTGGCGGTGGATGGTATACTGGATCTGGTTGACTTGGTTTGAATGCTTGTCCATCTGTGAAGGGTGTTGTTGGTGTGGTTTTGGGATAACCGGGGTGTGTAGGATCTATGAAGAATGTTGGTATTGGTCGCTGATATCCATTTGTTGTTGGGAACGTCACTTTTGTTGTTTCCAAAAGACCAGTGGGCCGTGTAGGTGCTCCAGTTCCATGCTGTTGTGTGGAAATTGAAGTTCTGTGATCATCAATGGTAGTACCTCTTGTCCCTTCGGTATAAATTGTTGTTGGTCTATTAAATACGGATGTAGTACTTGGCAAATATTGAGTTGTAGGATATCTTGTATTAGTAGTGCTACCATAAGTGGTACCCGGTTCGGTACCTCTAATTGGGGTAGTACTACCTGCACCTCTCACAGGTATTGTTGTATCTCCACCTTGGTAGGTACTACCATATTGAGTACTTCCCGGGATTGTACTACTAGTTGGATATCTCATTGGCAAAGTTGTCTTATAGTAATCTGTATTACCAGCATTGGTTTGGTAAATTGTACTATGTCCCGGTTTACCATAGAAGGTTGAAATTGTATTTGCAGTTTGTGTAGAAGGATATCCCAGTGGTTTGGTAAATCCTAATCCAAATGGTGGTGTTACTTTGGTAGAAAATAGGAAAGTGGATGTTGTTTCTCCATCTGATGGACGAGTCAAGCCTACAGTTGTTATAGGTTTTGTTGGTTCTGGACTTTGAGAAGTCATAGGTCGTGTTGGTTTTGGTTTCCTTCTTGTTGTGTATGTTGTCATTGGTTGCGTTGTTTCCTTTTGTTTTGAAGTATCTTGACTGGAGGCAATTGTAAATGATGGTTGAGTTGGTAAATGCGTCATGGGAATTGTGGTTTTAATCGGATATTTTGATGGTTGCGTTGACGCAGGTTTTGTTTGGGTTGTAAAAGTTGTCATTGCTTGAGTCGGACGATGTGTTTGTCCTTTACTGGACTCGAAACCACCCAGTTGTTGGTAAATTGTTTGAGATTTTGTTGGTTGCTTGACTGAAGTTGATGATTGCTCCTGAATATTGTTGGGCGGAAATTGGAAGTTGTTTCTGGTCTAGTTTGAGATGTACTGAAGGTATGTCTTGTTGTATCATAAGATGTTGTCGGCTCTACTGGAGGTCTCGTAAATATCGATGTCCTTGTTGTTTCGATGAATTTTGTTGTTCTGGGACGTTCTGTTGTAAGGGCTGTTGTACTTGTGGTAGGTTTAGTTACTTTAGTCGTGGGTCTTGTTAGTTTTGTTGTTGTTGATGGGATCAGCCATGTAGTATGACTCAAAGGAGGTCTTGTTGGAAGTTCCGAGGTGGTTGTAGGTGTGGTTTTGATTGGAGTTGTTCCTCTCGAAGGAGGCGTAACTTTCGTGGGTTTATACTTTTGCCCTGTTGTACTGGTCTTCTGATGCAATACTTGGAGTAAATTTTTATAGGCTTCTATTTCAGCGTAATCTAAAGTAGGTTGAGCATCCTTCTGAGAGGTTGACGCTGTTTGATCTACAGGAAACTTCTGAGGTAGATAATAATTTGGTAGTTTATTTGTCATTGGTGGTGCTAGCAGTGGAGGTGGTTGATTTATCTGTACCCATTCCCCAGTATTTAATGGCGGCTTATTCTGCCCAAACGGATGTTTGTTTGAATGAACTTTTGGAGGTACAGCGGGATGCGGGTAATGCGGCAATTCCGGATACTTATCATGCGATTCTTTTTGGTTAGTTCCTGTGAAGTATCCATTTTGTGAGTGTCCAGAATGACTCTGCCCAGTTTTAACTACAAAAACATGCCCGGGAATAGAATAATCATATCCTCCATTCTTTGTGACCCATACATGTTTTCTAATTGGAGATACACTATATTCCAACTCGTATCTGACGTCTGGATTACGATGACGAAGGCGTTTTACAGTCCACAATGCAATGAGACGCTCACCCAGCCCGTTATGCAGGTAGATCTCGCACTCCTTACCATAACACTGTCTCAATTCATGACAATCGATGCAATCGTTTGGATGCGGATCTTGCACGAAGCGAAATCCATCGGGATTGGCAAAAAGTTGTCCCCGTGCTAGTATGGCAACGTCTCCGAATGGGGATACTTTTGCGCCTTGTCCAGACATTGGAGCTTGAAGAATCTTTGCGCGTAAATGATTCAAGGTGACGCGTTCTTTGACGAGTGTTTGGTGAGCTGCTTCTCGTAATCCTGGCTCCCAGTTAGTTTCAGGAGCGAGACCAATGTGACGTTTGAAATCTTTGGGTATAGATGAACCATCGTGTGGTCCTGTATTAGTTATAGCTTCATAGAGATCCAAATTTACCGTTATGATCAGTATCTGTAAACCAGATTTAATTTTTTATATGCAAGAAAGAAAAAAGTGAAATGCGATTTATGAGTCGTTGACTTACCGTGATATAATAATTAACATAATCCATTATTAATTAAAATATTATTAGAATAAAAGCGGCGTTGTATAAGTTTTCTATAGTTCTTCGTCGATTTTGTTTTTCCTGACGTCTTGTCTAGTCTAGTTACGTGCTCGATAAATTATTGTCGAATTGTTCGAAGCACAATTTTACATAATTCATTCATTTTCTTCATCAATTCGCATTTTTGCATAATTTTTTCGCAACTTATTCAAATGTAAGTCAAAACGTAAGTTTAGCACCACACATTCAACACTTTTTTGGCAGTTGGTTAATTTGTATGTTAAATTATGTTATGCGCATGTTGGCGCTGTTTCAGTAACGATTTGCAATAGTTTCTCGCACGCGCTTCTCTGTTGCAAGAGTTGTGTGCCACCGGCGCGATGAAATGCAATTAACTGACTGGCGCTTCTTTGCTGGCGCAGCTTGAAGATGGTAGCTTTTTTCGCGTAACATTGAAAGTAGTTGTGTGGTAGAGGTGTGGGGTAAATAAAAAGTATTCAATAATCAAATGGAGTGAAGCTGCCAATTGAATTCTATTCAAATTCACGCTGTGTTTTGAAAATTGATAATTGTGTTATGCGAATATAAATATTTCGTAGTAAATTATTTTTTTCTTTTAATGAGGAGATAATTTATCGAAGAATTGTAGAAATTTCTGTTGGAACTGTAATTTTGTTCGTTGCACACGGAAATGCATCAAATGAATGCAATCTTGTTGCGCACCAGAATGCTCTAATTGAACATCAGTTTCTCAGCGAAATTGCGCACAGATTTACTTTATTAAAAATTTAACGGTTTGCGCAAAGATGCAGTCTTCTGCTAGATTTGGTGTATTAGCTGCAATTCTTTACTTTCCAATGTCAGCGTGACATTTGCGTGCGTTTTTTCGTCTTCTTGTAAAGTTATTATGAAGATTCATTATCGTACCAAGAACAAAAAAAGAAAAGTTTTGATTTCGTGCATCAACGCGAATGCAGAAACCGTAATCGTATTAATTAGTCATTGTTGTTATCAACAATTGTTTTATAAGAATAATAAATACATATTAATGTCAGATTTCAAATTATTATTATTATTAGCTTTATTTATTTGACGGCAAGAATGAAAAGTAATGAAAATGAAAAGTTTTAATTACCAATTAAAAGTAATATATAGTTTTCAGCTGTGGAACAATACATACAATGAATACAGTGAAAAAACTATAAGAAATTGTTTGTTCAATTTAGTTAAAATCATATATTAAATTCTAATTGATAAATGATTAACTGGTATTTTCAATTAAAATTAATTTCATGGAGTGTGCGAATTGTTTGTTTATTGCAGAAAAAAAACACAATAATGTAAATCCGATGAGACTTCTGCTGATAAATCATCGTTAAAATTTCGTAACGAAATAATTTGCACTTCTCTCGACAAACGCTTTGTTGTCGTGTATGTTCACTTTCAACTTTTAATCATGCGCATTCATTTTCATAAATCATTCGCGTATGCAAAGCGCGTCTATTCATTCAACAAGTGTCGGCGTCCGCGGGGAGGACTGAGAAATGCGAGGAGGCGAAGAAAGAAAAAGAAAAGTGACGCCGGGAGATTTAATGAGCTAATGAGTGGTTTACGTTAAAGCGCATTGGGTTTTAAAGAATCCGCGCCGCTTAATTGTCTGCCATGCAGGCGTCAGTGAAGCCTGTGAACGCTAATGAATGAATAATGCCAGTTACCGTACGCAGATGCATGTTATAAAATAATAATGAGCTGGTAATTAATAACGAACGCTATTCGTGTATGGGATTTTAAATTTTTTCACGGTCAAGTGCAGTGGATAAAAATATAGTCTTTATTATTCATACTAATATTTATTTTATTCATTTAATAATATAGTAACAGTGAAATAGAATAGAAAAAAATGTGCATTCTGAATAGATTTGATTTGTGAGTTGCACAAGATATAAATTCATGTTTATAGTTCTTTTTAAATTAAATATTTTAATTATACAATTAAATTTGGTGTTCATAGGTGTTCATAGCCTTATTAACAACAATTTTACACGATTAAGCTTTAAGTTTTATTCTCACAGTTGACCGCAATGTTTGTTTACTTGTTTAAGACAAAGGGAACAAATTTTTGTTAATATTGTCTTGGTTGGTATTGTTGGAGTGTTGGGAAGCTTCGTGGTGTTGCGCCACAATAAAATCACCAACCATGCAAGGGCAACCGATGCGTGCGCTTCGATCTTCTCGTTTTCCGTTGCAAGAAGCCTTCTACTGTCGGAGAGAAAAGCATTGGGTTTCTTCGCGCTGTAGTATGTGCAAACGTAATTCCTCGCTGCGGTTTCGCTTACAACGGGAGATCAGCTCGAGATAACGCCGCCGTCACTATTCAATGAACATGCGAGCAGTGAACAAATTACGATGCACGAATACCACTAATCTTGGTTGTTAAACGAAGAAAAAGAGACGAGTGCCAAATTTGTCATTTCGAAAGAAAAAATTAAATTTTTGTACAAATACCTAACGTTTCAAGTAAACAAGAAAATTTTGTTTTACTTTAAATAGGAAGTTTTATAAAATTAGATAATATAGTTCTAGTTTAAAGATTCCGAAGATACGCGAGTGTTTTATGGCTTTACGTAATATAATTATGGCGATTACGCCTAATTACCATCCGAATTGAATAAAGGCAAGCATTACACCTGCTGCAGCCTTATTGTTTTGGATTTAATTCGTTATGTTACACATTGTTACGCGTAATATGTGTGTCATTCTTCTTTTGTGTTTCTCACATCCGTTTTTGGTTACTTTCTTCTGCTATTTGTGTATACTAAATGCCAGAGCATTGTTTTTGTGATTTGTCGTATTCATTTATCAATTTTAAGAACAAATATGTTTTAGTGAAATGAAAATTTCATAATAAAAAGATTAATATTGTTAATGACATTGATATTTGCATAAATCTCGTTGATGGTGAAATTTATCATTAGCACGTCGTAAACTATTAATATTACAAACAAAAAACGTGAAGAAATCTGGATTGCGAATACTTTTAATAATGTAATAAGATGAACTATACCTGGTAATGTACTCGCTTTCAATTTTAATTGTGGTATAGTTCTTTTTCGCGTTTAACAAAGTTTGAGTTCTACGCCGATGATTTATCAGTTTTATCATCCACAAGTTAATGAAAAATGTGGCAAGTTCCTTGCTGCGCGCTGCGTTCGCGTCCGTTTCATTATTTCATTAGGAAAGACGGAATGCGAATGCGTAGGTAACACGATTTTGCGATTAATATTTTTGTCTTATTGTGGAGTAATACTACATTTCATTATTATGACTATAAACTTGATACATGAACGATGATAAACCCATAATAAATCGCAATAAAAAAGTTTTAATTTGCTTTCGTAATATGCGAATTAATGAACATTTAACGACTATTAACATGACAGAAAATAACATAAAAAACGGTAGATGGTTTCTATTATTTACTAGTCATTTAAACTTTTTTCTATTGTGAAGGAAGAATATTAATATGTAATAACGACGCACCTCTGCGATTCTTGTCTTGGATGTTGCGCGTTTGTAATTATGAAATGCCGTTTTGTGTGCACGATGCGCGTTTCCCTTTTTCATTATGAATTTTATATTTTACTACGTAGCAAAGCACGCACTAGTAAAGTTTAATCATGTTTTTTATGTTTTGCTACAGGTTCAGGTACGTTACCTGGCACAGCAGCTGCACATCAATTGGTCGTTTCAATCAGGCAGAAGTGCACGCCTGAAGAAGTGATCAGTGTGCTGAAGGATCTGCCGAATCCCCTCTCGGAGGAGGATGCCGACAGTCGCTTTAATCCGCTCAAGATCGACGTGTTCGTGCAGACGTTATTGAACTTGGGCGCGAAGAGTTTCTCCCACAGCTTTGCGGCGATTTCGAAATTCCATTATGTCTACAAGGTAATTTCAACTATCAATTCCTGAGCAAACAATACATTAACAGCATGCATTTCAAAAAGACACTTTAATTATTCCGTTAAAGAATTGAGCATCATTCGCGAAGGTTTCACCAAAATGAATTGGTAATTTATTCAATTTATTGCTATCTTAATTTGTTTAATTTGTATATCGGGTCAAGATCGAGACTGAAACTACATTAGCGTAACACAATCTTAACATAATTAACAAAATTAAGACAATTGCCAAATTGACTTGTTATATGTAGATATTAGCCGAATCTGAAGAAGCACAAATCTGCATCTTGCGCAACATGTTCGAACTGTGGCACAATCATCAGCAGATGATGGTTGTATTGGTGGATAAGATGTTGAAGACGCAGATTATCGAATGTGCTTCTGTCGCCAATTGGATTTTCTCGAAGGAGATGGTTTCGGAGTTCACCAAAAACTACATCTGGGAAATTCTGCATTTGACAATTAAGAAAATGAATAAACACGTAATAAAACTAGGTGGTGAGTTATCCGAAGCAAGAGAAAAACTAGCCAGGGCGGAGTCTAGCTCCAGTGAGAGCGAAGACGATGATGAAGACTCCGGTAAAAAGAAAGAAACAGATAATGAGAAGCCCACCGAAGAGATGGTCGAACGCATGGAGGAGAAATTGGAGGCGGCACAGGCCGATCAAAAGAATTTGTTTTTGATTGTTTTCCAACGTTTCATCATGATTTTATCGGAGCATTTGGTTAGATGCGACACGGATGGTAGGGATTACAATACGCATTGGTACAGGTGGACTATCGGAAGGTTACAGCAAGTATTTTTAAGTGTAAGTGATTTTAACGTTGTTTATTTATCATATGCGATTATATGGAATGTTTTACCGCTTGATTTAACATTGTAGCATCATGAGCAAGTCCAGAAATACAGTTCAACATTGGAGACTCTTTTGTTCACGCAAGATTTAGATCCACATGTGTTGGAAGTGTTCCAACAGTTTGTCTCACTGCAGTCGTAAGTATCTAAGGAGTGCGTCGTTTGTGAATAATTTTTAAGTAATTTGATGCTAAATAAAGCACATACTTTTTATGATTTAGTAATAGAGAATACGATTGTATTATGAACAATTAGTTTTCTTTTTCGTTTTCAAATTTTATTGCGAATAAAATATAAAATTATTCTTAAACATCAATATTATCGAGAAACCAGGATTTGAGTGCATATATTTTGTGGTTAATTTAAATTTAACATGTATATATTATTGTTTATTATTTAATTGATTATGCAGCTTTAGCAGCAAAGACAGCAGCAATCATATCTGCTCCTTTTTTATCGATATCATCAAATCCAGGCATTTCTTTCTTCATTATCTTATACCAGGCCATTACGTTTGCATATGGACTTAGATCAACTTTAACTGCCTAAAAACAGGTATATTTTATGAGTTTAACAATTATCAAACCATAAATACACAAACCTCTATTGTTGACACTGTGCTTGTCAGTGCAAAATCAGCAATAGACATTTGGGAACCACCCGCATATTTGTTTCCAGCCAGAAGTACATTCAGAACTTTTAGAGCTTCTTCAATGCGCGATAATTTTTCATTGTTTGGCTGTTCCAATCCGCCCATTACTGGTCTCTATAAAATATATTAATCATGAAATATTGTTTAGAAAAATTATATTTTTAGTACCATATAATCACCGAGGCGTGGAAAGAGAGTAGTACCATCAAAATACAAAATTTCATTGATTTTTCCTTCGTGTTCTGCGTTTACCGCTTTGAATTTGCCAGTTTTATCATACTTGTCACTTAGATACTTCATTATTGCTTTACTAAAAATACACAAAATAAATAAATGTTTTATACCTTAACTTAGTTTGGCGGATTTAAGAGGAGTTCATATCCTTTGGGAAATATGAATGATATATTTGGTTGTTGGTAATATTTGGGGACAGGAAGAATTGTAGGCTAAAAGGATGTGTAAAAATAACATCCGAAATGTGAAATGTGAAATTCAAACGCGAAAAGTCAAACTTGAAAAAGGGACAGCCCATCGGAGACTCATTGGGTAATTTAACATACACGTAAAATATATACAAACTCTCATTTCCGGCGCGTTTTCGGCTTCCTGTCGCAGCACACTCCGTTCAGGATAATTTCCTTTCAGCGTGTAATTCTGTTTGAATAAATGATATATCCAAACAAATTTGCGGGGGGTTACAAGTGTCTCTAGAGATTTACATTGAGATAAACAGCTCGTGAGTTTTCCGAAATTAATAATCGATATTGTCTTAAAATGTATAACCTGACACTGTTTATACTCTTTTTGTGTTTATTTTTAAATGTTTTTGCATTTAGGTAGTAGATAAAAGTGATCTTAGCATAATATTTCATCTAAGTGCATTTTCCGGAAAGACTTCACCCAAACTTATTCAAATTGCTATCCAAGTTTCTTCATTGCACTTCTTTTGCATTTGTTGGTTTTCATGCATTGCAAAAGTTTGTAAGCTCTATACGCGTATACCTATACACCAAATGTACATTATATTCATTTCTATATTTTGCAATAGTTTTCCGGTTAGGGACGTCCGTATCGGATGCGACTTTTTGCGAATACCACGCCGGCGCGTATAAAATATTATACGTATTCATGGAATTGTCGTGCAGAAATTTGCTATAAACCCTCGCACGCCGAGGCGGAAGATGTAAGCCGATACGCGCAGATAGCGCAAAAGGGGTATAAAATATGAATTCGTATTTACCTTTCCCATAAAACGTATCCGCCATCGTCCATCGTTGGCACCGTGTGCATCGGATTTAACTAAAAACATAAAATAATATATTTATTCATCACAATTATATTAAATTTAAATAATTTATCAATTACGTTGCCAGTAACATTTTAATTTTTATTATTAATTATTTCATTAGGCTTTAAAATAACCTGTATATTATTTCAATCGTTATGTTTTATGAATATCGTATACCAATTTTACTTTGCATTTTCATTCATTAAGGATTAAACGCTTTCATTTGCAGGATGATTTTCCATTTTAATTATTCTATATCGTAAGTAGTTTTTGCCATTCGTTCTGTTTTGTATTTTAATTTTAACCTTTGAAATTGTAGATTTGTCAACAAAATATTTATGGAATATGAGATTCAAGCACCCAATGCATCACAATTATTTGAATGGATTAAAAATATGCACAGCGTCATATTCTACACTCGAATTTGATTGTTTTTGACTTATTACACATAAAACAAAAACAATATAGTTACGCAAAATTTGGATGAATCCAATAAAATATTAAATTATTCATAATTCTTTCCTTTCATTAGGTTGTGAATAATTTCTCTGTTGGATTTGTTTGTGCATTTATTGAAAATGCCAATACTTTTTGATTAATTTTCAGCGCTGCGCCGGAATTCGAAACATTTCAGCTAGTTTTTTTTTATGACTATTCAGGATTTTCGCGTTGCACGTACTGAAAACTTCTTTTACACGTGGAAAAGTTTACGATTTTCAGATTTCTGTATTCAGTATTGTGTGTAGTAGTACGAGTATGTTGTTGCAGTCTGTGTCGTGGGTGCAATCTGCACATTTAGACACAGACGGAATGTTTTGTGAATCCGACGTGATTCGGAGGCGAAACACGCACCGATTGCGAGCGGCTATAACGAACCCGCATTGCATCGCATCGCCTGCAACATAACAACTGGAAACTGAACGGCAAACTTTTATTTTGACTCAGCAAAAGTTATTACTGATTAAAAAGCGCTATTTCAGGCATACCAGGCATGTGAAACACACGTTAATAAATTTCAGTTATAAAATAATATTGTATCATAATGGAGATATCATAAAATTGCCCATTAAACTTTCCTTTAAAAAAATAATCGGTTGATTAATCAGAGTATTGGATAGATTTTTAATTTAAATATATCAAAATTGAATTATTTTGATTAATGCTTAACTGATATTCAAATAAATCCCATTATTTGAAATGATAACAAAATGTACGGATGAAATATTAAAGAGAATTGGGTAAAATAGTAAAATCCAAAAGCAAATGTTATATCTACGTTCACTTGTTTGCTCTGCTAGTATTTACATATGCTCGTTAGTTGAGCAGTAATGTTCCGACGACTTTCCCTCAGACGGGAAATGAAAATACTAACGACGAAACAAAGTTAACGTTAAATTGAAACCTGCAACCGACCGACCGTCCGCCCCCGGTCGGTCCGCGGTCTTGTAAACCGTAAGTGAAACTAAACGAAACAATTTTGGTTGAATTTGCATAGATATAAAGCCACTTTTATCCCTTTTATGTGCGCCGATGTCACCGACCACAACCGCGGCGTTAAAAAGCTGGTCGCGCGCGCGTGCATCGCACGTTGTTTGCTCTACTTTTATTCAATTTCCGGTTTTCCGGAACACGAGTTGCACGCTCATAACCATAGACATGCATGTACTGAATGCGAGTATTACATGAACAACATGTTTTCACTAATAATTTTTATTCTTTTTGAATGCGTAAATTCTTTAGTTCTATTTTCGCTTTGTTTTAACATATTTTGAATAATTTTAAATATTTATCTACAGAAAGCACGCGTTTGTAAAGTAATGTAAATGAACATCCGTCATTTTATCTAAGGTTATTTTGTAACCTTTTGATCATTTGCCTTCTTATATGCGAGGGTTTGGTTTTCTTTGACCCTCGCCGTTATCCCCAACTTTGCTTCTTTTACAGCTACTTTCTTTACCCTCTAATATAATATTTACTTTGTGTGGATACCGAAAAAATCCCCTCTAAAATTGATGTTCAGTTTCGTCCGTAAACTTGAATTATGCATTGTAATATTGATTTATTTATCAGTTTTTTGTTTGTTTATTTCACAAACTTTTTATTTGCTGAGTTGGTGAGTGCGTCATTGAATTACCAGAGTAATTCACTGGAATGAAAGGGTGTGAAAAACAGCTGCGAGAAAAGTTAGCCAAAAACTCCGAAAAACAGTGAAAACTCGCGAAAAGTCTGAGTATCAGCGCTTGGGTCATGCGGGAGTATATTGTACATGACACACGTCGTTGCCGGACGACCCGGAAACGGACAACGCCATCCCATCCGGTCGTGATGAGCGCAAACCTTCCGCAAGTCCTGCCAAACGACACGACATGCGTGAAACACTGCTGTCCGTGCAATGAATGCTGAAAGTGGCATATGCTCACATATGAGTGCTGTCATCAAAATAGAACAACAAAAAACTAATATTTTAAAATGAATATAGGTATATATTATATATACTTTATTAGCTAATTGTAGGATGTGGCAACTTTTGGGTTTGGTCTAGAACAAAATTTAAGCACTCAGTAAAGTTATCCGTAATTGTTACAGAGCGTTCATCAGCCTTTGCATATTGGGGTATTTATTTGTGCAAAGTGCCAAGGGTACGTTTAGGAATAAATGTAGAACCGTAACTCTAACGGACCGCAATCCTTGCAATCTTCGGCGATTATCCCCAACACCCAAAAGTTTATTATTGTCTATGTATGCTACGAGTATATCTAACAAGTGTTAGGTATTACAAAATTCAAATAATAAGCACGTGAAAATTTTAAAAATATTACTTTTTAATAATTGCAATATTTGAAAATCTCTAAAAGATGTGAATTATTGATCAGGGCAAATCAGACAACATTGACGTAATGTCTCCTATGAACTAAACCAACAATTTATGCAATAATATCTAATTATTGTTAATATCTAATTTTACCTTTCACTAAATGACAGTTTTTTTAATGGTCATCATGCTGACTTGCATATACAATTATTTCTAGCTTATAATGCGTTTTGTAGCTGAACTTTATATTACAAAAGAACTTGAAATATGCTCCGTGTAGAGATTTGTGCGAAAAATGTAAAAACGTGAAAAAAGTACCGAGTGACAAATGGTAAATGGCAAAAGTAGAAATTATTCCGACTCGCTTAGATACACGACCGGCCGTCAGCGGTTTTTGCGCTTGATTTATACGTTTAGTTGGCGGTAGAGAATGACCGGCTCGACGGGCGCGTAGGAGGCGGGAATCCGGTCGGCGGGCACGCTTCGCCCACAATTTAACCTTTTTACACTGGCCCGCTCTAATGATAATGCTTTACCTACAGTCCTACACCTCTCTGTAGGGGTGTACTTCAACTACACTTACTTGTACACCAAGTGTCTAAAAAAACTAAAAAACAAAATATCTTGAAATAAATTTTTTCAATCGTAAAAATCATTCAAATATTCAATAATATTTTAATAATTCTGGATTTATTTATGTCTAGGGTTTTTACTTCACCATATATAACGTTGTAAAGTCATATTAAAAAAGTTTTAGGGAAGAATTTAAAAAAGGATTTATTCATTTGTTCCCTCATTTAGAGATCTCTTCGTTAGAGATATTTTTTGTTTCCGTTTTTGTGATTTTGTTGGTTCAGCTTAAGTTCGGTTTGATTTTGCTTGCTTTAGCAGAATATTTTTTTACCTTTAAAAATTCCGGCTTCATCTGCTCACCCTCCATGATATTGACCAGTTTTAGATTCATCATCAGGCCCAAAGCACGCGCCAGCATCAACACTGCGCGTGTTGGTGGACTCGCCGGGAAGTAATACATATCAATACTGTTCTCCATTTTCAATGTTTTTGCCCTACAAAAAACACATATTAATATCACAATTTTGATTCAACTTAAACTGAAAACAAATTACGATGCGGAGTTTTCAAATGGTATCACCGCAGAGCTATCCATACACGTGCAATTCCCCAGTTTGTTTAAGTGTAATTACTACTCAAAATCTATATAATCTGATTGAGTAGAGCGTAGAAAACTTAAATTACTTTTAAAGTAGATCAAAATGAAATTCAATGACAATGCGAAGCAATCAATTTACGTCGATTGACTTCAATTTAGTTTGGTTTAGTTGCAGGATTGATTTCATAGCCAAGACTGGTCGCATTAACGATGCACAACCCCTTTATATTAACCCGCAGACAATGCCCCACTTGTCGTCGTCGGCATTGTGAAAATGTAATAAGTAGACAATGGTTTTCTGCGATTTTCTTTTCGTCGATACTTCGATACCAAGTGTTTTATTATCATCACAACAACACACCAAATCAATAAAAATAAATTGAAAATTTACTAAACTTTAAAATTGACTATAAAATGTATTTAATCATTTAAAAATTAATTTTTATTAAATTCTGTAAAGAATAAGTTATTTTAATGATAACATTTGGTATATTTACCATAGCAACGGATTAAATAACTCTACAAACTAGTAATGCTGAATATAAGCAGGTTAAGAATCATTTATTTATTAAGTTACTGAGAATTGCAGGTAGGCTGATTTGTTCAATTCGTAATTGCGAATGTTTTTGAATTATTCATCCGTTGTGGATAATAAACACTTATACATTTGACATTACTAAATATTTATGTTAATAAGTGTTAAAAAATATAAAAGTTTTACTTTTTGATTGATTTTGTTTGTTAAAAACGCGTTAAAAACTTCAATTTGCTAGTTGAAACTTGGCGTTTCGTTTGAGATGCGGGAGTACTTAGGTCTTTTAGTGTGTTTGCGTAATCCACCTTTTCGAGTACAATATCGAGTGACTTGTTTACCAACTGCGGAACTTATAAGTTGATTATGACGTCGCGCACAAAGCACTCGCCGTATAATTCTAGAGTTACACAATCCATGATTAAAATTTATACGAAATTATAAGTTGCTCGCTTTCGTTGTCATCAAAGCAAACATTCAGCTTCTCTCCGACTAATGAGCCCTTTGTCAATACATATTGTTAGCGCTGTTTGCTTATAACATCCGATATGCAATATTTAAATTTCACAAAGAGGTGGAATTATATTTAAGTGATTAATTGCATGGCATTTTACCATTTTTATTTTTCAATCGCAAAACTGCAACTGAAAAGGTATTTTTATCATATGAATACAACATATTAATGCTATCCAACTTGTTTGTCTAGTTAATTGACATGGAATTGACATAAACAAGTTTCAACATCGAAATGATCGAATTATGTGAATTTTTTATTCTTTTGTAATTAATTGATGTTGTCAGCATTAGCATCGATAATCATCTGACAGTTCAAATGGTTATTGAATGTTTACGTGGATTATTAGCTAATTAGAAATAATACCCTTGATGTGGCGTGCGCATGAGGTACTAGTAGATGTGAGGTTGTGTGAGTACGTAGTGCAAAGTGTGTGCTAATATGTCATTATCAATAAATGACTACAATTTTCCGACTGGTACATGAAGTGCTTGACGATGTTTGAGCAAAAGTGCTATTATTACAGATAATGACACAAATCACTCGGGGTTCAGATAAATAAATAAATCATAATTGCAAGTGAACACATGTATTTTATGACTAAATGCATTAATAATGCATTTTATGCATTCATATTTTATTTTTTCTATAAATAGAATGATATAGTTCAAGGTTAAACAAAAAATAGTAAAATAATAATTGAATTGTTTTTTTATTGTATTTGTTTATTCGTTTTAAAGTATTGTAAGTTATTGTCTTAAAATTAACAGAATATCCTTGTTCGTTTGCCAGTAAGTCGCCATTTTCATCATCTCATCATTGCCCGTTCATTTTGTCCCTAACTCATAATACTAAAACTTAAAAATATTTAACAAGAAAATAACAACGTGATTTTTACGTTCTAATCTTAAACCCATCCTTCATTTAGTAGCATAATCGTGTTTCTATTTGCAACCACTGTCATTTTTCTTGTATATTTTCTTAATCAGTCATAATCTCTCCCTTTCAATACGCTCTTTGCGTTATAAATTTTTATTTTTTAAATTTTTCCTCGACATTATCAATGCCGCACTTTTTGTATTAGATTTTCTCTTCGTCAATAATTTTTTAAGTAAAACATTCCATAATGAACCAAACTGTTACTTCGATTCATTGCCAACTCTCCCATTCTTCGTTAAAACCGAAGAAACCAAATTTAATTTGTGATTAACTTGTGTCCCACAACATTCCATATTCATTTTTGTTTGCTTAAGTCGTTTCCAAGTTACGGTATGTTTGGTAATATAATGATTTAATTGTTGTTACCGATGGCACGTTGTAGGCGCTGGTACTTGCCGATAGCATCCTGCACGAAACCCGCCGCTTGTGATAGTTTGTCAGGGGTAACAAATGAGCGCATGGTGTCTTTATCGATGTTTGACATGCCAGCAAAAGTGATGGTGCACAGCGGCGTTAGGGAGCACACTGCGGTGGTGAATATTCCGCCTACGACGAGGAGAGCTACGCCGCCAACAAGGAAAAGTCCAATTTTTGCAAAGATTTTCAAAGCAATTTGTAGAGCGGTCTATAAACAACAGAAAAATAATAATTAAGATTACAATGAGATTGTATAACTGTATAAACAAAATAATTACCATAATATAATATTGACTTACATTGGCAGCTGGCATCATAGAAGTAACATACTCCCCGCCTGAGGATAATTAGTAGGAATTAGGTAATTGTCATAGCCACTGTTGGGGTAGGTGTCCGCATAGGGGTAAGTAGCGTGCGGCACGTAGTTATCCGGCTGTTGAGTACCAACAGCAGCATTGCTACCAGGTTGTTGCGGGTTAACAGCGTCTGACTTTTGTTGAGGATCAACAGCGAGACTGTTTGGGGGTAAGCAATGCGCCACCGCCACTACAGCACAGATTATAGCCAGATGAAACGTACGCATTTTGATTGCTGCAGTAAGAAATACAAATAAGAATAAAATTTAAAATTTTACAGAGAAACTCAAGACTTACCGTTTCGCTTGAAGGGTAACACTGTACTAGTTGACAATTTGCAAAAGTTGAGGGTTTATATACCTAGGTGAGGTGGTCAAGTGGTCAGTTTTTGGAAATCCCCACTTTTTGAAGGGTAGATGTGACAGTGGGTAACTAAATTTGAGTAAAACCAATGCTTTATTTTCAAAAACTAAATTTTTTGTCATTTTTATAGAAAAAAATATTAATTTTAACTTGTTTCGTTGAAAATTTGTAATTATCTACATATAAATCTGATATTTAAGAAGAAAATGTAAATAAAAACAAAATTTACATGTTTTTTTTAATATAAACCTTAATAATAGTTAAATATTTGACTTTTAAAATTGATGTCATGACATAACATTATGAACGATGTTATGTCTCTGATCGTTTACGAAATAGTAAACATCCATGTCCGGATCACATCAATCTCTTCAAAATCGCCATATCACATCGCGTCGTGTCAATATCAAACTTTCAACATCCGTTCGCAACTACATACATACTCCGTCGTCTGCTTTAACCTTCCTACATATTTTAGTGAAAATATGGAAAGCACAAGTTGTGATCGAGTTTGGTGTATTGTGCTTATTCTCACCTTCTCATGTCATCTTGAATCTTGTCACAATCGACAAGACGCTATGATATCTGATGACATATCATCAAGAAGTTTAAAAATACAGTGTGTTAACAACAGTAAAATCCATATTAATATTTTTAAATTTAATTTTTAACTTTAAAGTTAAATTTTTAAAGAATTTTGAATGTAAATTAAAATTGAGGAAGAGTCTACGATAGATGCTTAATCCTGGCGTCAAATGCATGTTGCAACTCTTCTTGTCATGTTGGTGTACTCGTATGTTCGTATTGATTGTGGAAATCGCTCGCATGCGAGCATAAAATATGCAGCGGAACGACGGCGGCAAATAACTTATTTATATGAAAATCGATTCCGGTTGTCATACAGTTCGTTTTCAATATGTTTCAAGTCGAAAATTTAAAATTGCATAAACTTTGGTAACAATAGTTAATAACATTTTATGTTTTAAACCACATCACAGTTATATTGAATATATTCCATGTTTATTTTATCAGATTTTATTTAAATTGCGTGGTTGCATGTGCTTAGTTAGTGCCTCACGCGTGACATTTTCTAGTTATGTAGATTTTTGTCTGCGATGAAATCAGGATCGAATTCTTGTGCAGCAGAAAAATGATTACAGGCAAATTGAGTTCATTCGAAACCGCATTTTTTATTACGATTAGATGCATTACAATTACCAATCACATAAAATATTTTATTATTAATTTATAAATCAATTTTATTTAATTTCTATCTATATATATATAAAAATGAATTGCTGTTCGTTAGTCTCGCTAAAACTCGAGAACGGCTGAACGGATTTATCTTATCTTGGTCTTGAATTATTCGTGGAGGTCTAGGAAAGGTTTAAAGGTGAGAAAAATTCGAATAATTGCCGGGAAAATCCTCAAAACAGCTCTTTTCTATAGAATAAAATTTGACATTGAGATTCAATCATAGTTATAGTTAAATAGTTGAATTCGAGATGGCGCGCTGATGTGCATTATTATCAATTCTTTATATAATTCATTTCTTTAAATTAAAATTGCTAATCTTATTGATAGAATTGACTCTTACTACGAGTATGTCTAGAACAAGAGAGTAAAAACGAATTACATTTTTATTAAACACTGCCGGAACGAAGTCGCGGGCAACAGCAAGTTATTAAATAAAAATTAAATTGAATTGATTTTTACACATAATAAAAAAAACCTTTTTATACATTTTATATTAAAACGGATAATTCATAGTTTTAACTACTTAATTTATATTTAAATGAATTGACCATTAATCCCCAAAGTGGCTTGAAGATCGTAAAGTGAGAATTTGCTAATTAAGTCTCGATTTCCGCCATAACTGCACTAACTACGCCAACTGCAAACTGATGAAATGAATTACTCAAACCGACTCGAGAGTAAACTCGTAATTTGAGGTTTGAATGGTTAGAAGCGACGCAATGAAAATCAAGTTAAACGATCTGCAAACTTTCAGCATCACCATCAACGCCAGCGAACGTCACAAATCACAAGATAATATTATACATATTTTTCTCAAAACTTTAAACTTTACTACATACTGTAATATAATAATATAAAAAGAATCACTAAACTAGATTGCCCATTATTTGGTAATAGAAGGTATTGAGGTATGCTGGCGATAGTGAACATGCCCAAGGTTATTTCATGCTGTCCCAAACGGCTACAAAGTGGATAGCGGACGACGGAATTACCGGAATTCAATAGATAGCCCACTGGCAGACACCGGCGTACACAAACAAAATGCAAATATCAGCATGGTCCCTCCGCTGGCGACGTCATAAATGCGCCCCCGATAATCCAGCTTATCTCTTCTCCGGCGTCGTACTCGCAGTTCTTTTTTCTTTGTGTTACACCTACCAGTATGCCACTGGACTATCACCAATCTTCTTGCTGGTACCTGTCGACAAATAGTCTTTCTTGGTAAAAATAGCGAGGAATTTGTGTCGGGGAAGTAAACTGAACAGGTAACAAGTCAAAATTCTAGGAAAATATTTTATCTTGAGGTGTAAAAGGTGAATTTTTAGACTCTACGAATATTTAAATATTATGTGTTAAATTCACTGAAAGGTAAAACTTTATATTTTTAAGAAAATGTTTTGATTAAATAATTTTGAACACATTGTATATTTGAGGTGTGTCTTCTGCAATCAGGTCTAGCTGAAAGCAATTTTTTGTCCAGATAAATCACGTTGATTCGCAGAAATAACTCAGGCGAGATCCGTCGCCAGGTCGGTCTAACCCAAGCCGACGGGTCCAGAGTTTGCTCATTCGCAAGAAGCGACGCGTTGCGGGAATCCAGCAGGACCCTAAGCGTCTCGCCGCAGGACTTTTGGGTGGCGCATATGCGAACAGAATACGGATTTCCATTCATAATCAATCTGTGTGTAGGTATATATTTGCAGTCTACTCACGTTCGTATAAACAGACAAAATAAAACCAGAAAAAATGACTCGGTAAACAATTGTCTTTCAATATCATTTTAACTTTTAAAAGGTTAAAAATTTTTAATTTTAATTTATTTTTGTTTTTTGATTGATTATTTTAATGTCATGTTTCAAAAGCTGCTATCTGCGGTGTTGATGAAGGTGAAGTTGTCGAAGGGCAATAAATTAATATTAAAATCCCTGAAATTGAAATGCAAATGCCGCACGATGATGAACCTGACGGGGCAGAAACGTGAAACGCACAAAAAAGGACACTGCGGAAGCAGCAGCTTGAGCAAATCGAAAGGCGCGAGTGCGAAAGCAGCGCGAAAATAAACGCCAATCGAATTATGAATATGGAAATGGAATCATTTGCATTTGTTTCGTGCTCGTACGCTGTTTAAAGCTCTTCTTTAACTTCATCAATTTGAATAATTGCGCGCCGCCGACATTAAATAAATAATTTCAATTTGTATCTACTTAATTTGCGACCACTTAAAACCTTCTTGCACAAAAAGGGCTGGTAATTTACATCTTCGTTTAATTATAACATCAAAATTAATTTTATTTAAATTAGTTGTGCATTATTGTTGTTTTTGGTTTCTTATTTTTTGCTGGTTTGGTGAAAATGTTTTTCCGCGCATATTTTCATGCGTGTCGGTTGGCATTCAGCAGTAATTTTCTCCAAGAACGGGCGTAATAAATCCGGGCGTTTAACGCACCCGACGCATCACGCAACGGGCTTGTAATTGCCGCGCTCGTTTTAATTTTTTTGTGCTCTAACTGCCGGAAATAAATAATTAAAACGTGGCCGAATTAATTATGAACCGACATCGCACCGCTGGGTCCTCGAGAATAATAGCAGCGCTTCATTTTGCTGAAATGCTAAAAATTAAAAAAACTTAAACAACTGAAAATTAAACTTCAAAAATGTGTAGACGCGTAATTAAAAAAAATGTTTGCAATGTATATAATCTCGTAATTTATGATATATATGTTATATTTGCATTTAGTTTATCACTTAACTATGCCTCGTTAATTAAAATGTGATGTTCTGTTTTCATATGTTAATTTTAAGGGTGAAAAGTTAAATATTTTAATTAACACATTCTAATTAAAACTCGCGTTATATTACTAGTTTTACTCCAACATTTTTATTTTATTTCTATAAGTAATATACGTATATTTATGTTTTTAGTTTTGTACATACTTTCGGTCAGACTCTTTACCTGAATTTTTGTCTGCATTCCAAAACAAGTTTCAAGGCGTCTGCTTTATCAGTTATCACAATAGATAGACGACACGCAAAGTGTTTTAACCAATACTTTACTATTGTCCATATTTCTGCAAATAAAACCAAGAATCATATTAATTTATTTATTAAATTTTATTTTTACTTGCATATTGCTATGTTATTAAGATAAATATCACAAAATATTCAAAAGTCTAGTATCCTATAATTAACCTTAATTTTCAATCTCATCGTAGTGATTGAGTACTTGAAACTACTTTACGGATGGAAATTATTGCATGAAAATCATTGTTTAATATATTAAGAAGTCAGCTGTATTTTATTTACACGTGTTCTAAACGTGCGCGTTTTTGCACTGATTGATATATTATACTTCAAAATAATGATAATCTGATTAAATTCTTTTCAAGATTCAGAATGATGGTATAGTTGATTGTACTAATCACTTTTTAATCAACATAAATAAAAACACGAGTCATTCAAATAATACCAGTTATCCTTAAAACAGTAACAGTAAACAGTGATTTATCACTTTTAAAAATTGCAATGAATATTAATTGGTACCAATGCTATGCAACTTTTGCTGGTATGTTCAGAAAATACATATTTTCTATCACTTGATAAATCTAATACAATTTGTTTTTAGTTTCAATGTCTGTTTTGATAAGTGGAATGAATTTTGCTTGGCCATCTCCATCAATACCAAAATTATTAGAAGGTACTAATACAGTAAAAATTACCAGTGATGAAGCATCATGGCTAGCAGTAATGTTCCTAATTGGCTCTATTTTTGGCGGTCTAGTAGCTGGACGTGCTATAAACCGTTTTGGCCGTCTCAAAACAATTCTATTCTCTTCGGCATCTTACATCGGAGCATGGATAGCTCTTGCTTTTGCAAATCACGTTGCCATCTTGTTTAGTTCCAGATTCCTCGCTGGTTTCACCGATTCATTTGCTTACACTTCAGTGACCATGTACGTGGGTGAAATTGCAGACCCACACATTCGAGGTTTTCTTGGTTCATACTTGGCGGTAACTGTCATCATAGGAATGTTATTAGTAAATGCATTGGGGTTATACCTCAGTGTTCAAACCACTGCATTAATATCAATAAGCATACCAGTTTTAGTGGTTGTTATGTGTTTCGGACTACCAGAAAGTCCATATTTTTATATCATGAATGGAAGAAATGAAGAAGCTATCAAAAGTTTAAATAAATTTAAAAAATCAGATGTGGTTCAAGCTGAGTTTCTAAGATTGAAAACATCAATAGATGAAGAAATGAAAAACAAAGGAAGATTTGTTGATATATTTCAAGTACCTTACTATCGGAAAACTTTGATTATATTAACAACTTTACGATGTGCCAAACAATTCGTAGGAATATCAGCAATCACCTTCTATACAGACACAATATTCTCTGAGATGGACAGTGGTATCTCTTCAGAAATATGGGTAATACTTTTTACATCGTGAAACTGCTAATAACAATATTCGCGTCTGTAATTATTGACAAAACAGGAAGGAAACCATTATTATACTTTTCAACTGTTGGAATAACTCTAAGTTTACTTTGTGCTGGAATTTATTCTTTTATTGAAGATGCCAAACAAGTGAACTTAACAAATTATGAATGGATACCTATTGTAGCTCTATTTGTATTTATTATTACTTATAGTATAGGTATGGGAACAGTTCCATTTTTAATGTTAGGAGAACTTATGCCTACAAATGTAAAATCTCACTCATTATCACTTGTCAATAGTTTTTATTGTATAGCCGGAACATTATCAACGTTATTCTTTCAAAAACCAATGATAATTTTGGTTTGGGTGTACCATTTGTATCTTTTGCATTCTGTTCGATTGTAACATTATTATTTGTTGTAATATTTGTGCCTGAAACAAAAGGAAAAACTTTGGAAGAGATTCAGGAAAGTATGAAAGTGAAATCAAAGCAATCTAACGTAATCTAATCATGTTTCATTAAACAATGACATTTAAGTCATTGAGATTATATTTTTATAAACAAAACAGCGAAACGGTATGTAATATACACGAGATAACGTTAGGAATTACCATGATAAATGATAATAAATCAGGAATTTGTGATTAATTATGATTAGATTAATGTATTACCCATTTCAATCTTATCAAAATGACACACAACACTTTATGTCGTTGAAAATAACTCAAAACACAAAGTACATCTCTAGTTATTTTAATAGAATTTTAAATACATATTGAAAATTAATGTTTACAAAGACAAATAATGATAATTAATTGGTATCAGTGCTATGCAACATTTGCAGGTGAGTCAATTTTACTTTATTTTTCAATATAAAAACTTTATTTTGTTTTAGTTTCGTTATGTATTGTCACAAGTACAATGCACCTCGCATGGCCATCACCATCAATTCCAAAACTCTTGGACGGTTCACACACGTTGAAATTAACCTCTGACGAGGCATCATTCCTAACAATAATATCACTATGTGGTTCTATTTTCGGAGGTTTAGTGGCTGGTCCCGCCATGAATCGATTCGGTCGCTTGAAGTCAATTTTATTCTCATGTGTACCTTACATTATTGCATGGTTAGCCATAGCATTTGCCAATCATGTGGCTATTTTGTTTTCCGCTAGATTTATGGTGGGATTTGTTGATTCTCTTGCGTTTACTGCAGTGCCAATGTACGTTGGTGAAATAGCAGATCCTCACATCAGAGGACTGCTTGGTTCCTACTGTGCTGTCTCGATGATCATTGGTATGTTAATATCAAACGCAGTGGGTCTGTACAATAGTATCTACACCACAGCTTTAATCTCGATTAGTGTGCCTGTTTTGCTGGGGTTAACTTGCTTTCATCTACCAGAAAGTCCTTATTTTTTGATTATGAGAGGACGAGATGATGAAGCTATCAAAAGTTTAAAAAGGTTTAAAGATCCAGAAGTGGTCCAGGATGAATATAAGAGATTGAAAGAGTCCATCGAAGAAGAAATCAGAAACAAAGCGCATTTTATGGATCTGTTCAGGGTACCGTACATTCGAAAAGCATTATTTATAACCACATCACTAAGGTGTATCCAGCAATTGGTTGGACTGACATCTATAACATTTTATACTGAAACTATCTTCTCAGAAGTAGAAGGAGGAATATCATCTGAACTATGGGTGATACTCTTTTACATCGTGAAACTATTTGTTACAACATTCGCATCTTTAATCATTGACAAAACAGGAAGGAAACCTTTGTTATTTGTTTCGTTAGTTGGAGTAACTTTAAGTCTGTTTTGTGTTGGTATCTATAGTTTCCTTGAAGACGCTGATGATATAGATATGTCTAATTATGATTATATACCGATAATTGCATTGTTTGTTTATATTATCACGTATAGTTTTGGGCTAGGTCCGATAGCTGTGTTGATGCTTGGAGAACTAATGCCCACGAATGTTAAAACTTACGCACTTTGTTTTGTTGATATTGTATTTTGTACTTTTGGAATGTTATCATCGTTGTATTTCCAAAAAACCAACGATAGTTATGGGTTAGGAGTGCCGTTTGTTTCATTTGGATTTTGTGCGTTTTTAAGCGTCGGTTTTGTTGTTTTCTTTACACCGGAAACCAAAGGGAAAACTTTAGAGGATATTCAAGAGAGTTTCAGGGCTAAATCTAAACGGAAACAAATTTCTAAGAAATAATCTAAAATAATATAAATATTTGTAGATGTATATAAAAATTATTAGTATTAAATTTATTAGAGTAAATTTAAAAATTAAAATTAATATTATTTTATGTTATAATCATGTTTTTGCGCAAATAATTGGGATTAATAAGATTACCTGATTAGATAAGGAATTATATCATACATTCCGTCACTTTATGAATACTATAAATTTATTTGTAGGTAGTAGAAGATTGTAGTTGAAACAATTCATTCCAAAACTATTAAAATATGTGAATTCCTTAGAAAAAGTAAATTAATTTATAACGCATAATGACTGTCAATTGGTATCAGTATTATGCCACATTCTCTGGTAATTATTTTAGGTTAACATTTCATACATTTAATTTATTAATATCTAAATATAATTTTTTTGTAGTTTCATTATGCATTTTATCTGGTGCAATGCACTTCGCTTGGCCGTCACCTTCAATCCCCAAACTCTTGAACGGATCACACACTCTCAAAATAACCAGTAATGAAGCTTCCTGGCTGGCTGTAATGTCACTTGGCGGTTCAATTTTTGGTGGAATTACTGCTGGGCCCTTTCTCAACCGTTTTGGTCGCCTCAAAGCCATGCTATTCGCAAGCATTCCTTATATTATTGCATGGTTGGCCATAGCCTTCGCCACACACGTTTCTATCTTGTTCATAAGTAGATTCATGGTGGGTTTTGTGGATTCGCTTGTGTATACTTCAGTGCCGATGTATATTGGTGAAATAGCTGATGCTCGAATTCGAGGGTTACTGGGTTCTTACTGTGCGGTGTCACTCATCATTGGAATGTTATTAACAAATTCACTGGGATTGTACTTAAGTATTTATACAACTGCTTTGATTTCAATCAGTCTACCAGTTTTAATGGTGTGCAATTGTTTCGGATTACCAGAAAGCCCTTATTTTTTGATTATGAAAGGAAGGCATGAAGACGCCATCAAAAGTTTAAAGCGACTAAAACAACCAGAAATGGTTCAAAGTGAATTTGAACGGTTGAAACAAGCGATTGAAGCCGAAACAACAAACAAAGCTAAACTCATTGATATTTTCCGGGTACCGTACTATCGAAAAGCTTTGATTATAACAACATCTCTAAGATGCTTTCAACAATTGGTAGGACTCTCAGCGATTACATTCTATACAGAAACCATATTTTTAGAAGTAGAAGGCGCAATTTCTTCAGAAGTCTGGGTGATATTATTCTACATCGTAAAACTCCTAGCGACAATTTTCACGTGTTTAATCATAGATAAAACAGGCAGGAAACCATTATTATACATTTCAACAATCGGAGTAACTTTAAACTTATTTTGTGTTGGTATCTATAGTTTTTTAGAAGACGACAAACAAGTAGATATGACAAATTATGATTACATACCAATTATTGCGTTATTTCTATACAACATTACTTATAGTGTCGGATTAGGACCAATTCCTGTTTTGGTGTTAGGTGAACTGATGCCAACGAATGTCAAATCGTATGCATTATGTATAGTAGATATGATTTTCTGTTGCGTTGGGATGTTATCATCGTTATTCTTTCAGAATACTAACGATAGTTTTGGTTTAGGAGTACCGTTTATTTCTTTTGCATTTTGTGCCGTTTTAAGTATTGGTTTTGTTATATTTATTATGCCAGAGACCAAAGGAAAAACTTTGGAACAAATTCAGGAAGGTCTTAAAATTTAAAGTAAATAATGTACATAAATAAATTGTTATAATATTAAATAATTATTTAATTATACTTTAATTAAAATTATCTATCTTGACGCATTCTTGCAGATAGTTATTACACTTAATTTTCCGTTCATGAATTTGTTCATTGTGAGTTATTTTTGTGTGGGCTACTGCATTGAGAAGAGAGCTTTGCGCTCTGAAGCATGGTCGCAATGACGCAAATGCATCGCGCATTGAAGAGCTTTCGTGCATTGTGCTAGTGTCCTGTCCGGTTTATCATCGGACGCCTCCACTCGCCGTCGTCGCGTCGACGGAGCGATAGGATATCCGGAAATGTGCAGCTAAATACAGATTGCACCATAATGCACTGCACTGGACTGCGTCCGATGGTGGAGGCGCTCGCCAATCTACTGCGATCTGTTCGAAATGTTCAATTGTCGCATATAACAAAGTTATAGTTTACAACTGTAACGTCGCGTTATAGTTTGAGTTACAAATCTCTGTGGAGACGCATCAATTGCATTGTGTATTAGTTATATTGTGTCTGCGTAATGAGTAACCAACCTCGACAGATTAATGGAGATTATGGGATAATTAATAGAAGTCTCTTTCGATTGCTGATTAGAAGTCATTTATTAACGTATTTTAAAATATAAATTTATTAATTCAATTTATGTAGTTTTTATTTAAAATATTTTTATATAAAATCTAAGGTGTGAATGCAAAGTGGCTCGTTGAAATATCAGACATTCTGCCCCTTTCGTCGTGCCGGAGTGTTGGCGGTGGCGTTGGCGGCGTCAACGACGGCGGCGGTGGTGTAAACGAACCCGTCGCTCAGTTTGTGCCGGCACGCCGTGTGAATCAGACCTGCTGTGTATCGAATCCTATTTCTGCCGCTAGTGAGCGCCCGGCGCCTCCGCCACAGTACCACAAACACGTTTTGGTTAACCTTTCACTCATAATTACAAAATTATAGCATTAAATTTTAATAAAAATATATTTAATGTTAAATAAATAAATTTTATAAATTATTACATGAAAAGAAAAGAAAAACAAGTAAAAGTTGTTTTAAATTTTAAATGGTTGATGAAAAACTCAAGCGAAATGTAAAACGTTTAAAAAAAAGCAATTATCCTAAATTTGTTTGGACAAATTGGTTTGGTGTCGTTTAGAAATGAACACAAACATTGTATAAACTCAACGAGCTGAAAATTGGTGCATGCACATTTGTAGCTCGAATGTAGGAATTAAATAAAAAGGCTACGCGAAAGTTTGTTACAAATAAATACTTAAATTTAACACTGATACCGAATGAACGAAGTTAAATTAAATTAAAACATCGCATCGATTGAATGTTATTAATTAAATTGTGTCGTTTTGATGAAGTGCTGTTGACAATAACGTAAATAATTCAATAAATATTTCGTGTTTATATATCAAGGATTATTTGAAGCATACGATACAGAAAAAAGAAAATTTTAATGGTAAGTAAATTAAATTAATTTTAGTCACAACCAACACGAAATATTTGAATAATTTAATTAAAATAAATTGTATTAAATTCATTTAAATATTGGATGATTATTTGACTACCAAATGAAATATAATTACGTCCAAATTGTATTTTATTTATTTTTTGATGAAATAATTTTTAATTTAAAACATTACTATTATTTTGCTACTTAATAAAAGTATCTATTTGAATAAAATACCTACAAAAGTATAAAATTATATTTATACATATTAAAATAATTGAATTTCATACTTTTGACAAGGTACAACACAAGTACGGAGCACAAATATGCCTAAAAGCATTAATTGCATTCAAATTATTTAATTATTTAATTACATTATTTAATTTGCAATTATGAGGGTCATTATAACCTTTTAACCAACACTTTTGTAATATAACAGCAAATTATACATTTGCTATGTTTAGGAATAAAATATTGGCAAAACAAAAAGCAAAACTGTATTAATAGTTTTAGTACTAATTATTACTACTGCTGGCGATGTAAATTAAAAATATAAACGTATCAAAATATAGAAGTAAAAATGATGATTGAGCATTTTAATCGAACGGAAAAAGCAAAACGTTTGGTTTTTTTGAATTTTTGTTTTTTTGTTATGCTCGATTAAAGAATTATATACAAAGGGTTATGTGGGTAGTTACAACAGAAGTTAAAACTCATTCAAACACCCTCACATACAAAATCAATGGTTGAAATGTTAAAATTTATTTAAAAACAAATATTTCATGAATAATTTGAACTAAAAACTGCCCGAAACACAACAAAAAAGTTTGATAAATGAAAAATACAAAACGGTATATCATTGTGTCATGTGGGCGTGTGTAAATATGTCATGAAAGTTGCAAATAACCACAGATGTGGCCAAAATTCACACCTCAACACTTTTCCACACACAACACACAAAAAAACCCTGCAATATTATTCAAATTCAGCAGTTTCTACACAAAACACAAAACATACAAAAATAATATCATGTCTTCTTAAAAAAATAATTGCAACACATACACTGTCAATTCTAACAGCACGACACAATTGAGTACATTTTTAATCCTCATTTGTCATCATTTCCTCTGGTCTTTCTCTTCATATTTCTTCACTGCTGGAACTTTGCTTTTGTGTTTCGTGTTTCTTCGCTGGCGGATTGTGGATAAAGGTTGGGGGATTGCGGTTGTGGTTCAGAAAAGTATTGCGACGCCTCGTTCTTCATTAATTCCTAACAACTCGACGTTTACACTCGGACAATGCGACGATGGGCTCTCGAACAAACAGCATTATCCTGTTTGTTTCGCTTGGCTCGGGTAATTTGTCAAACCGCGTCAAACCAGGACGCAACTCACCACGGCTGTGCCGACATCGAGGAAGAAAAGAGAATGATTAATTATTAATATACACGTTTCGGAACACGCCGAACAAATGCTTTACGGGTATCTAAAGTTTGTGACCAGTGACTTGGAAAACAACTTCATAAAAACACGTAATGTTCCATTAAAGATGGACTCAATTAATAATAATGAACACACAATTATAATTATAGTTCATTTAAATTTTCTGTTCTGGAAAAAATAAGTTTTATTTTTTGTTTGTTTTACTTTATAATATTTAATTTAATTTTTACTTTGGAACATTTCTGGAATGCATAAAATCACCGAATGGAGGAAAAGTTTCTCGAATCATTTCTTTATATTTCAATTAAAGTTGCTTCGAAACTGTGCGCACGTTTTGCGCCTTCGTCCAAGTACGAATTCACAGCAGGTCTGGTCCTGATCGAACTTTGCTATGTATTTAATAGTTTGTTAACTTTCTATTAGTTTTCCCTGTGTACTTTTCGTATTTTTGAGAAAAAATTTTTTCTACAAAAATTAATACAGCCAACAAATGTGAGTATAAAAAAATAAGCATATATCGAGATAATATTATGTAAAATATGGTTTTAACATAAAAACAACTAAGTGAGCCAATGAATCATGAGTCACATACCAAACCTAGTACATTATTTTTGGTTACAGGCGTAGTCTTTGCGTATGCATAAAACGGTGAAAATATGAGCGCAAATAAATAACGCATAATAAAAAATACAAACAGGCGCCGGCGAACACACAACGCGATGTCGCGATGGAACGCAGAACAAAACGCGTTAAAGTTAAAAAATATACATCACAGTTAGCGCACTCCGAAAGCCTGCAGCCGTTGCACGTATATGACGTATTTTATACTTTTATATCCTTTATGTTTTATAGGAGTGTCTCTCTTTTTTACGAAATATAAAAAAAACTCAAACCGTAAAATGAAAAGTCACAAGTAAAAAAATAATAACCATAAAAAATTACTATAAATATAAATTTTAAGCGAGTGTATGTAGAATATGAATATTAAGAGCAGAAACACATTTTTTGTTTTTGTTTCGGTATTTATTTGAGTGCGGCGCATTTTAAAACATATTTTTTGTACTTGTTTTATTTGTACTAACATATAAATTTTTTTAGCGGTATAAGTGACTTTATTCAGGACACCGTACGAGGGTAGCGGTAGATGTGACTCGTGTTCAGAGCACCGTATTAAGCTAGCGGTAGAAGTGACTCAATTCCGGGTACCTTACGAAGGTAGCGGTATAAGCGACTCAATTCGAGGCACCGTACGAGACTAGCGGTAGAAGTGACTCAATTCCGGGTACCTTACAAAGGTAGCGGTAGAAGTGACTCGATTCGGGGCACCGTACAAGGGCAGCGATAGAAGTGACTTGATTCAGGGTACCTTACGAGGCTAGCGGTAATAGTGACTCGTGTTCAGAGCACCGTACAAAGCTAGCGGTAAAAGTGACTACTATTCAGAGTACTGTGCGAGGGCCGCGGTACAAGTGACTTTATTCAGGGCACCGTTGCAATTTATTATTTTAAAATTTTCGTGTTACGTGTGAATTCTTGGATAAAACAACAAAACAAACAAATTAAAAATGAAGGAATATTATGAGTATCGCCCTGTATTCATGATATTGCGTGTTTCGTGCATCGCGTGAAAGTTACGAGCGAATTACGCGAGTTTTACAACTCTTTTTTTTTGTCACCGACGGCTGTCGTTTTGTTGGTTTGGTCGCGACATATCCGGAACTGTCCTTTCGTCCTTTCCCTGACCGTCAAGGGATACACGCAGGGTTGTAATACGCGCAAGATTAGAACCTCCAAATATCCGTGCGGCTGCGGCACGCACACGCGCGACGATTAGGTTGTTTTTTATTAGTCTCGTAAAAATGAGGCAAGAATAGCGACAGCGATAGTAAAAAACACATATTTTTGGGTGTTGGAGCGAGTGATTTACGAGTGTGCCGGATTCTTATATCTGGGATAATTGGTTTAATTTCCTGGACAAAAAAAAACTTTCTTTATTTATACAAGTAAATTTTAAGGTAAAATAAGGATGATGAATGCAGTATTTTATACACTTCTAAACAAATAACGTTTTATTTTTGTGTTTCTTTGAGATTCAGTGCTAATTAGAAGAACAAAGTAGTTGAAAACATTCTTTGCGCCTGCGGCTTTGTTTGATAGTGGTTTAAATAGGACATGAACATGCGGACTGGTGTCCAGAACTTGCCCGTTAGAACTTTCATAAGAAATTGCCCAAGCAGACGGCGGTGGCAAGCACAGTAAAGAACAGTCTTCAACTATGTTCTGCATTATATGTTTTGTGTCTTGTAAACGTGCCAAGTGTAGAGTATCACATGCTACACAACAAACAAAATAATAAAACACGCTTTTGTAAATGTATTTACTCTAAAACACAAGGTTTTTAAAGAATTAAAGAAATTTCCTAAAAAATTAAAACAAACGATTTCAGAATGTTTTTAATTTTTGGTTTAATAAGTATTGTTATTGTATAAACCTGTTTAAGTGCTCTGTAAGTTTTTGTAAACATCTACGTGCGATGTTTGCTTCACAGCGCTGTGAACATTGTTCAACAGAAGGAAAAGAAGCAACGAAAACCATTGCGACCGAGAGGATTGCCTTCGCGCACATAAATATTCCGCCCGCGTTCGTCTCGCAAGCTAAGGGCGCTTTCTTACTTAGAGAAATAATAAAGTGAGTATCAACTATCACAACTATCAGATGCACTTCGTCGCAGTTTAGTGCTTCCGGTTACATCGATACCAATTCCGTTCTAAAACACACCTAGAAAATAAATTTAAAAAATTGCATTTCTAGTTATTCCACTGAAATATTTCACAAAATAATAACCAGCCATAAAATAATACATCCATTGTATGAAAGATTGAGGTATTTTTATTCCTTGGTCGATAATTACACTTTCCGCCAACTGAGACGTAGAAATCCGTGAAGATATAAAATTTTCCAATTTCTATCGTTCTATCACATTAGTCGTGAGATCGCTCCGCCCGAATTTGTTCCGATTTAATACTAATAAAATACCAATTTGCCATCCCTAATGGGAATTACCAACTGAGAGAAGAAACGAATTCGATTTTCAATTTCGAGATACGCGACCGGCACGAGTGAGGTCAGGCCGATCTTCAGCATTGCAACGAAATTCTTGAAACGCCGTTGGGATTACGATTACACACGTACGTCGCACTTTTCGCGGCAACTGAAAGCAGCTCACTAAAAGATGTCGTAAATATTTGACGAGACGCGAACAAAAATTGCAACGCATCTGTTTTAATGTAACTAAAAATCGTCTTGCTAAAGTTTTTCTAAAATATTCTTCAACGAAGCGTGAAATTTCGCCAAAGTTTAATTGTTGTAGTTAATTGCGTAGTTAGTTCGGTAAGAGCTTTTGTTATAGTGTACGAAAGTGAATGGAAGCACTTGTTGGAAGCTCAACTCCGACGCTAGTCAGTAATGGAAAAATAGAGCGGGCTAAAACCGAAAAAAGAAAAGAAAAACGCAAAGAGCCAAGGAAAAAACAAGATAGATAAAGCGCATGAAAAAAAAAGAAGCAAGGAAATGGATAGAAAACTTAAAGGTAGCTAACAAATGAGGCTTTTATTGCGAATTCCCTTTGGTCTTCTTTTGGATGAACCAACTTCATGCTGGGGCGTGAATTATTAATGCGTGGCCATTATTCTGTCTTTTACAGACTCAATTTTAATCCGACAAATAAAACATCCGAAACAATAAATTACAAATTAGCAAAATCTAATAACGTGTTTAGTTTCGTTTGAATTTTATACGTTGCCACCAGACGATACCAGATTTAAATCGTAGAGGCCGTCATTATCGTTTGCGTTATCGTACTCCTCGTCTTCGGTGCGATAGTCGCCGCCCCGGCGCTTTGCGAGCGTCTTTTCGCCGCGCGAGGATCGATTATCACGATCAGCGTCCTGCGGACCATCCGCTTCCTCTCTGCCCAGGTCATAATCATCGTAGAGCGACGTCAGGCTGATCTCGTCGTGGCAATCGAAGTTGTACCACCAGTCGCATACTAAGTGCTTCTGATTAAAAGCGCTACCAACTGGACAAAGGAAGGATATCTTTGAATATTCTGATTCACAAACATGGAAAACCTTTAAAAATTAAAAATAATTTAATAATCTAGAAGAAACTTTGTTGTTTGTTTTTGTTTTGTGTTTTCTGGAAACTATTTGCAAAGTGTTTTCGTTGTGGTGTTTTGAGTTAATTAAGTTGGAATACCTGACATTCCGTTTCGACGTCGGCATAGTAACCCCAATTAACCCGACCCTGGCAGGAAAAGCCGGTCTTCGGGATGGTCTTGTAGGTGGGATAATCGCGTTTCGGCTCGCCGGGTATCGTCTCGAAGAGGGCCGTATGCTCGTCGGCGATCGGTTCGATCTCATTCGAATAGTTCTGATTAGCATCGGACTCCTTGCCCGAACTATCCTCGTTAGCGTACTGATTTATATCGTAGTTCCCGGTTAGACGTTTTCTTAATTGGGAATTCTATAAGTAAAAATATATAAAGTATCAAGAACTAAAGTATAATGTACTTTAGTCACGGCTTTGTCCGTGGCTAACACCCGTGACTAAAGTATTTTAGCCACGCCCGTGTATAAAATATCACTTTTTGTGTCTCAAAACCTTGAAAAATAGGCGTTTTAAAGGTGAAAGTATAAAAAATCGTAAAAATGTTTTCTTAACCTCAAAATAAAACAAATTAAAATTATTTTTATACTTACAGAGTGTAAATTATCCCCGCTAACAATAATTGGCACAAAAAACACAAAAATAACCAAACATTGCACTTCTTTCATCATTACCGAATATTATTCCTGCATTAAACACTAAACTACAATTTTCTACGACGTAGATGTATGAAAAGTAAAAGTTGCAGAGAGACTAAGGTGCACTAACGAAGAACTTGCAACAAAATTCGTGCAACCTTTATATACCTCGAAGAATCGATAGAGTTTCGTAAAAATGAACTTACCACTTGTGGGACGGTCGACTGTGCTGCGCAAAAGTCGTGATGAAGTCGTGATGCACACGACGTGCATGCGCATCTTCTGCACACATTAGCTCGCATTAGAAGCCGCAGTTTCTATGCATTCAAAAGGCATGCGTCCTCCTTCTTTGTCGATTAGTATTAGTCTCTTATTTCTTCTTGAGGTTGCAGTCAGTTGCAGAAATTGCGCAACCAGCGATGTACACGATCGTCGCCAATAAAAATCCACGACTTTTTATCTGACAAACGTAACTTACGCAGACCTTTAGCTGGTGTCTTGAGATTTACAAGAAATAAGAAAACAAGCCTTTATTCTACATGAAATTGTTTTAAGAAATGACACATTTTTAGATTAAGTAAAAATCGTGTGATTGATTAATTTAAATTTAATATTTTTTAGAAAAACATAGAAAATCAGTTAATATGCACGGTTGATGTGTAAAATCATTTCGAAAACGTGTGAGGTTTAATTGTACGCTTATTACGCTCGATGTAAGTTTCTTGTACTCGTACGCGTAATTAATACGCTATATTATATCACAACAACCAACTGTAAACGATGCAATGCTGCATCTCACTGGAGTTTCTGCATTCAGTATGTGCACATTCAACACGACAAGCTTGCAATTACTAGTTTTGGTTTGTGGTTAGTGAAAGACTAATTGTCTGACGACTGAATTGTATTCATTAATTCCTTATACAAACCAGAAGTGAGCTGAGATTTTGATTTCTGCAAAATGTCAATACATTCAAATCCAATGTGAATTTAAAGATTTATAAAAAGCAAAGTATGTTTAGGAATAAATTGATCGGTTGATATGTGCATTTTATGTCTTGTGTTCTTTGAGTATGTGCAAACAAATGACCAACTATCACGAAGAATTTGTCTATCTGTGAGTAGAACGTGAGAATTTGTAGCTATTCAAGCCTCAAACTCCTTTCATCTTAAAGAGACCTAGAGAACTGACACATTTTACGTTGAAATTTTCAAGTTTCGAGTGCAATAGACTTGAAATACAATTTTTTATTATTTTATTTTATTAAACACTAGCTGTTGCCCGCGACTTCGTTCCGGCAGTGTTTAATAAAAATGTAATTCGTTTTTACTCTCTTGTTCTAGACATACTCGTAGTAAGAGTCAATTCTATCAATAAGATTAGCAATTTTAATTTAAAGAAATTAATTATATAAAGTTTTGTCAATAATGCACTTCAGCGCGCCATCTCGAATTCAACTATTTAACTATAACTATGATTGAATCTCAATGTCAAATTTTATTCTATAGAAAAGAGCTGTTTTGAGGATTTTCCCGGCAATTATTCGAATTTTTCTCACCGTTTAAACCTTCCCTAGACCTCCACGAATAATTCAAGACCAAGATAAGATAAATCCGTTCAGCCGTTCTCGAGTTTTAGCGAGACTAACGAACAGCAATTCATTTTTATATATATAGATGAATATTTTGAATAATACTGTTAATACTTTGTATTACTCTATTCATATTTGTTTCCAGGCCCTTTCACAACGAATAATACCTAGTAAAAGCACAATTAATTAACCTTTTGTCTATGCGTATGACAGAATAGTTGGTTCCATTCACGTTTGCAGTAATATGCCCCTTTATTTCCTTTCATACTTCGAATTTCGAATTTTATGTGTTTTGTTTACGGTTGTTATTATCTTGGGTATAGTCTGCGTTGCATGTGCAACTGCTTGTTATGTTATTTAATGATGCTTTGTTTGAACAGTAATGTCGCTCAAGAGATTTATGTACTCGGGAAAATAACAAACAAGGCTCCCTATTAACATTCAGTAGTTTATTTATTTAATCAAAATTAAATGTTTAAACATTTAGTTATATAAATTATTATTATTTCTATTTATGTTTGTTTTATGATTTTTGGATGTTTTGTTTTCAATTCAGTTTGAAAACAATGTGAAAATCGAACGTTTTGCAATCACACATGTCCTCGATATTTATTTTCATCAATGCGTTGCATTGTTCGAAACTGCTACCCGATTATTACGGCTTTTGACATATTGTGCATTTCTAGTGAAACAATTAAGTGTGAACTATACACAAACGCGCAGAAATCAAATTATTTAAACTGCAAAAACTATTTTTGTTTTATTAAAATTTTGTAAATTTTGCACATTCTATCGTATAAAATAAGTGCTTACCAAACAAATAATGCAGTTGCTGCGTCTGACAAACATACGCGTACGAGTAAAACGGTAATGATTTACAAATACAAATAATAGTGCAATTCTTTATTAACATACTAAACAATCCGTGTTTGTTAAAACACGTTTTATTTGTTAATTACTAAACATTGTCCCAGGTATAAAAACGAAGTATCATTGCCCAATAGTTACATTCGATACATTCGAGGTTAAAAAAGAAATAAATTGTTCAGTTTAGTTCAATTTTAGTCCATTGGTAACATGATATCTCTCATCAATTTTTTAGTTGCTGCATTTACTATTATTGCTGTTTTTGTGGTGGCAAATGCGAACACATATGATCCACTTGGTGCAATTTGTAAGTTTATTTGAAAATAATTGAAAAGCAATATAGAACAATACGTTATTATTTGTAGATCAACTGGAAAATCCTTGAGAACGACTGAAATCTTAATCTATTACCGAATTAAATATTTAAACAATTAATTTAATAATTAAATAAATATTTATCTTGAATATCTAATTATTTTCTGTTTTTTTTCAATGGTAATCATTTTAATAGCAAAATTATTGTTAATAACTCATTTATTAAAACATATGTACAAAAGTCATTAAAACACTCATAAAATCATTCAAATCTTTCCTCAATCACACAAAATAAATAAATAATCAACACTTCCATACAATAATTCACAATTCATTCACACCGCAAAAAAATCACACATACGAGTAATACATTCACAATTCAATCAGTTTATTAGCTAATTATTGATAGATGGCGCGACGTCTCCTTTCTTCATGACGAATACGCTTGATAATCTTAGCAATTTCGGAGCGTGGGATCTTCTCAGCTTGACGGTTAAACACAGGAAACTCCTTGTCGGTGAACCAAGACTCACGTGCGAGTCCTTCGGCGATGCGCGGGTTCTTGTAGAAGTCGTTGGTGAGCTCAGCAGGAAGTTGCGCGTCACGTGCAGCGTTTGCCACTACAACCGGATGAGCAAGATGGCGTGGGTCAGCCGCGTTTGGAGCGTGCACAACGCCCACTGGTGGCGAATTTGCTTGATAAACCAGGTTATAATGTTGAGCGCTAGCACACGCCACAAAGAGGAGAATTGCGAATGATGAAGACAACATATTGCTAAAACAAAATAAAAAACATAATAAAAACATGTTGATGTTAATGACATTTAAGTGGGTTACGAGTAAACGCCGACCTTGCATGTAAAAATTAAGTTTCGGAACTACTTTTACTTTTAATTCAATTTGTGAAATGCCAATGTATTCAATATTCAGTATTTCAATGTCAAAATGCATTAAAACTGGTCTATATTGATCGGTGTAGCATTGAATGGTTTATTCACACAATCAGGAAGAACCGTGAGATGCAAACTGACACATTGCTACTGATCTGTCGCAGTTTTCAAGGTTTTACCATTCTCTTCGCGATTTTGTGCAACGTTTGTGTTTATTTAGAGTTAACATGATTTTATTATGAATCTACTAGCTGTTGCCCGCGACTTCGTTCCGGCTGTGTATAATAAAAATATAATTCGTTTTTACTCTCTTGTTCTAGACATACTCGTAGTAAGAGTCAATTCTATCAATAAGATTAGCAATTTTAATTTAAAGAAATTAATTATATAAAGTTTTGTCAATAATGCACTTCAGCGCGCCATCTCGAATTCAACTATTTAACTATAACTATGATTGAATCTCAATGTCAAATTTTATTCTATAGAAAAGAGCTGTTTTGAGGATTTTCCCGGCAATTATTCGAATTTTTCTCACCTTTTAAACCTTCCCTTGACCTCCACGAATAATTCAAGACCAAGATAAGACAAATCCGTTCAGCCGTTCTCGAGTTTTAGCGAGACTAACAAACAGCAATTCATTTATATATATATATATAGATTTGTAGTGTATCTTACTTTTAGATAAATTAATTGCACATGAAGCAGAGTGAAAATTCATTAGTAAATAATAACGTTCACGCAAGGCACGTTTATCAAAAACGTGTTTATTATTCGCATTGATTTCAAATTTTGCTAATGATTATTTTTATTTTCTCAGCCCGAGAATAATGACGTTAAATACAACAATAACACTAAATAACAATTTCAAAATTAATTTTCCATTCGGTGTTGATAGAGTTAAATATTAATTTATCTCATTTTACGTGTACATCAACAATTATTCGAGTTTATTTAATAAAAAATATGATATAATTTCAGGCTGTGATCCGGCATTGTCATTTTAAATCCGCGTGCGTGAATGCCCGTCCACGTAATCCAATTTGTCACCCTTTAAAGCCTTTTCAATTGCATTTGAAATTCGAGTGCGTGGAATTTTCGGTGATTTCGGCAGACGCAAAATGCAACGCAACGATCGATAAGCCCATTGAATTTGAAATTAACGGCACATGTGCGCGCAATAAACGCCGTCGAACGTAAATATTGTTTATTGTAATTTACTTTAGCGCATCGCACCTCGAAATGTTTGTGTTCGTTTCTCATCAAAACACTCTACCATTTACCAATTTCTATATATTCATATTCAAATATGTGAATTGTTTGAATGGGAATAAATTCAATCATGAGAATATTTAATAGGTTAAATCAATAATTTTTTGATTAAAATGAATTTTTTGATAAAATACGTAAATATTTGGTTGCGGTGATTAATTTAAACATAAATCGGTTATAAATTGATCTGATTCACTGATT